AACTTATATTTAAAGAAGGCTTTATGCGTGTAAAAAGTTTCTTTAAAGTTCGCCGCCATTTCATTCTCCCAACCCAATATCCTTTTATATAACATAATAAAAGTTTTTTGAAAGAAATCATGATGTTTAACAAAAATATTGAATCAATAGAACTTTGACTCAAAAAACATGAAAGTTTAAAAAAGAAGTTTCTCGATTATTTCATCACAAACCAAAAAAGTTGTGGCCTGTTTTTTGGTTTGAAGTTCTAGCTTTTTTTCTAATTTGATTCTAACCAAGTAGAAATTAGATAGCTGCTTTGATGAAGAAAGTTTGCATGCTTTAACCATTGCATATCCTTTGACCCAATGCCCAATACAGTAAAACATAAGGGAAACCGTGGCCGAGTGGTCTAAGGCGCGCGACGTGAATCCCGCGCCAAAGTATGGGGTTGTTGGTTCGGCTCTCCCGCGCAGTTGAGCTACTATTGTTTTGAGTGAATACGATACATAGCTACATTGTTCTAGCTTTTAATTCTAACCAGGTAGAAATTATTAGGGTGGTGCAAAAGAAACTGCCGATGGGTATCAGCTCTCATTTCTTATCAGATCTATAAAAATATGGCCTCTCTTGAGCCCGTAGCTCCGTTCCCAGAAAATTTCCCGGGAAACTCGCTGAAAATGTATTCCGCAGAACATTCTTTCCTAACGGATTCCGGAAACTATTAGGGTGATGCGGAAACCAGCGGGAAACTTTTCCCGCAAGAAAATTTCTTCCGCCATTATTTTTCCCGCAAGATGATGGCATGATAAAGAGACAGGAGGGGAACTATTTACCACGGGAAAAACTAGAAGGGGAATTTTCCCCGACATTATGGCTCTGGCTCTGATTTCTGGTCCTTCTTTGATCCTTGTCTGATTTGACTTGAAAAAATAGCAGTTTAAGACGTTGAACCAGCTTTGTTCACAAAGAATTGAGTGATTGATGCAAGAATTTTCTAGCTTTAAAAGACTTTTGTTTTGTTTAAAGTTTAAAGTTCTATTAGGGTGGTGCAACTGCCGATGGGTATCAGCTCTCATTTATCAGAAACGAGCGATGCTAACGGCAGCTAAAAGATTTCCCTTTTTATGAAGCTAAAGCTTATGAAATTTGAGTTGGATTCAGTGGAATTTGTTTTTTGAACATTACACAAAGTAAAAAGCTATGGCAATTGTAAATAGACTGCTGTATTCTAGCTCTATTCTAGTTCTATTCTAGTTCTATTCTATTAGGGTGGTGCAAAAGAAACTGCCGTTGGGTATCAGCTCTCATTTATCAGAAACGAGCAATGCTAACGACATTATTTTTTTTATGTTTTCTTCGCATATTTTTTTTGCTATTTATTTCGACATTTGAATTTTTTGGTTGTTTTTTATTTTATTTTATTGTTGTTTAAAAGGTTTATATTTTTTATTTAGATCATGGTCGAGCAAAAGTTTGTGCTACGAGCAGCATGACTGTTTCTGGAAACTTCAAAATTGGAAAGTCTGCTGCCGAATCGCATCGTTCTCTCTGTGCTGCTTTCGGAGATGGCAGTTTGTCTCCCAGGCAGTGTCAGACTTGGTTTCAACGATTCCGAGAGGGAGCCGAGGCTTTGGAAGATTACGAGCACGGTTCGAGGCCAGAAGTCGTGAACGAAGCCAAGCTGAGGGACGTGATTCAGGCCGATCCATGCCAATCTGCTCGAAATCTTGCGAAAATATTCCATTGTGATCATGTCGCCATCGAATGCCATCTTTTTTTGAATTTACCGTCAAATCGGCAGTTTCTTCTGCACCACCCTAATAGATAGCTGCTTTGGTGAAAAAATTTGCATGCTTTAACCATTGCATATCCTTTGACCCAATGCCCCAATACAGTAAAAGTGCTAGTCCGAGTTCTTTGTGCTCTCACGGAGTGTCTCACGGTTAATTCTCGGTGCTGATGGGATATCACAAACGTCTAGCCTATAATTTTTGTGGCCAAGAGTATTGCGCACATTTTGAGACCAAACACATACGGTTTGATCAACTCTGAAGAAACTTATAACACTTTGAATCTGAAAATGACCTTTTTGCGACTAAATTGTGGATGAGTTATTTACTATTAAGACATTGCACATTTGCATAGTTTAACCATTGCATAGTTTAACCATTGCATAGTTTAGCTATTGCATAGTTTAGCTATTGCATAGTTTAGCCATTGCATATTTTAACGATTGCATATCCTTTGACCCAATGCCCCAATACAATAAAATTGAATTTATTTGGATTGGAAACGAAATTAGCCATCGAAAACTTTTCTTTGAAGTCCAACTGGGCAGCGTTTAGAAATTTTGGGTATTTTTTTTTAACATCTTGTCTATTAAACTTTCAGCACATCATTCCCACAGCCTCTCTCGGCGTTCCGTGGATCTACTATGCTATTGTTATTTTGATCCAATCAGATGTAATTTATCAGGGTAACTTCTATTCTTCTCAACTCCTATTCAAAAGTTCAAATACTTTCGTAAAGCTCATTTTTAAACAATTTCTTCTTCGGTCTTTTGTGCTCTCACGGAGTGCTGGGATCGATTTCGTTGATCATTTTGACTGAGCCATATCGACGATTTACCATTTCTCTCATCATGAAAACCTCGATACTCAAATATTTTGGGAAACACTTTTTTAAAAAGACAAATTAACACACCGTCATCCCTGTATCTATTACTGGACCTTTTTAAAAACGATACTTTAAAACTAAAGGACTTTAAAACTAAACTATGTCTCAAAATTGTCTGCAAAAAAAAAGCTGAAGAGAAAGTTTCAGTGTAAAAGAAATCGAAGAACTTTTTCTGCAAAAATCACTTTTTGCAAAAAACGCAAAAATCACTGCAAGTTTTTTTCTTTTCTGAATCACTGAAAGTGAACCGATCACTGCTTTTAATCTCTTATTATTTTAATTCATTTTTGTGGAAAAAAACATCCTCAAAAAACATTACATTTTCTTGTGTATAGTTCGAGTTTTCTTCTTTCATTTCCCTTCAACTTAGTTTCATCTCAACTAAACGCGTCCCAATTTTTTGATCGCACTTGTTTTTCACTTCAAAATTTCGGCGCTTCACAGAGATACTAAATTTAAACCCTTATTCTTGCCTATACTTGATTTTATTGTAAAGCTTTTGGGGTAATATTTCTATTACTCGAATAAACTCTCCTTTATCTCATGGAGTGTTTCACTGTAGATTTGCTATTTACAGGTTTCCTTTTCGATTTGTCGTTTCGCTTTCGAAAACACTTTCATAATGCTGCAAGAAACTCTTTGCAATCAAAAAAATTCAAGAAACTTCCCTGACGACAAGATTGAAAAAAAAATGCCCCAATGAAGTCAATTGTCAAACTGAATAGCTGATAAATGGAGGTAGCAAGAAAAGAAGTTGATGGAAAGTGGCTGATCAAGAACTCGATTGGTGACCCCCCAGAAGACCGTGGAGATCGACGAAAGTTTGATTGCAAAACGGAAGAGCCACAAAGGACGCATGCTGCCCGAAAGATGAGTTTTGGTGGGATCTGCGATTTACGCCAAATCACGTATCAACGGATGACACACTTGATGGCATAGTGGTCAGCTCCGGGAAGCGGGGCAATTCTCTTGACGCCAACGACTCTGTCTTCGATATTGGTGAGCACACAATCTAAAATAAAGCTAGAGCGCAGGAAAATCGAAAAACGATTTAAAAGAGAAAGAGAATTAGCCGAAATGAATTCTTTAAAACGCAGAGAAGGTCGATGATACAGATCAAAGTGTGGGGAGCGGTTTATGAAGGAGATCTTACTATTAAAATCGCCTAGAATGACATTTGACATTCGAAATTAGCATTGCCGGACTCTTTTTCAGAACAATAAACTTTTAGAGCAAAGTGCAACTAATCAGCTCATACAAGTTCATCAAGCATTTACACAAGTTTTTGAGTTCCAGTTGTTAGATTACCTGACATTACTTCAAATCAGCTATAAGAAGCGTTGAGATTCATGGTTTTTTTTCGAAAAAACCATTGTTTTCCCCGCTTTTCACAAGTTCACCAAAAAAAAAATCGTTTTTTCGAAGCAAACAGATTTGTTTGCGGACGGAGATAATGGAAAGCAAAATAGCTTTTTTTCTCAAATCAAAAATACAAAATCTATTAAAACATTGCTTAATAAAGATAATTTATTGCAAGAAACTTACAATTTTGATTTGCATGTTTTTGCTTATGCACTTTGAACGCTGAATAGAAGTTTTGAAGGCTTTTCTGGTTCGTTTCCAGGGTTGAAATCACTAGTTTAACTTTTAAATTGCATTTAGATTTGCTAAATTTGCTAATATGACAATTTTTTAACTGAATAACTTTATGAAGTGTAGAATTGGTGAAAAAATCTCACGAAATTCACGAAAAGCGAAAAAAACAGGGCGCATGCAATTGATTTTCGATGCACAAACAGAATTGTGCAGAGAAAGGATTTTTGTTTACGAGAAGATTCCCGATTTTCGATCCTATTTTTTGGTTTGCTATTTTCTGTATTTCAGCAAGCTTATACTTTTATAATGACATTATACTTTTGAGCTTAAATTTCTTGGTGTTGGGTTGTCCAATTTAAATAGTTTTTGTACCAATCAATAGAGAAAGACTTGGCGCATCTGATAATACCAAGAATATTGAAATTGGACAACCCAATACCAAGAAATTTGAGCTCAAAGTTAGGTTGCCAATGGCAAAGGGAAGGGGCGCGTATAAAAGGTACCACAACCCCGCCCCCTTTGCTATTGGCAATCTAACTTTGAGCTTAAATTTCTTGGCGTTGGGTTGTTCAATTTAAATGCACAAACAGAATTGTGCAGAGAAAGGATTTTTGTTTACGAGAAGATTTCCCATTTTCGATCCCATTTTTTTGGTTTGCGATTTTCTGTATTTCAGCGAGCTTATACTTTTATAACTTTACACTTTTCTTTTCAGTTATATTTATGGCTTATTAGGCATTTCCAGAATGCCCCAAAACGCAGAACTCTCGCAAACACCCGGCCATTGTCTTTACTATCATTATCTCGGAAAATGCATCCGCGGGTATCGGTAAGAAATTTAGATTCTTCTTGGAAACCCCGGGTTTTTTTGATATGGATCTTTTCATCAAAAACTATCATATGCAAAACCCAAAGCCATTTCGATTCTCTTAAACTTTTCTTGGAAAAAACGGTTGAAATAAACTCAAGCAATAGATTCTACAACCCTGAAAATCCCGGAGCACAAATTTTTAACAGTAAATCTCATTTGGGAAGCATTTACAGAATAAAAGAAAAATCACTGTGTAAAGTGACTGGCGAGGCGATCTTTGTGTGGCCGGGTAATCGCTCTTCATCTGGCATACCCTCCCGATAGATAGGTGTTCTTTTTTGAAACCTTTAAACGGAAAGGAGAGGTGAGCGACTCTCCCCCAAATCCCTGGGACGAATCCCCACCCCCACAAATACTCCGCCAAGTCCAGACGCATGCAGACATTAATTATTATAGATCAATTCAAATCTCCATAAAGTTGTTTTGCGTTTTATAGATTGTTTCGTTTTTTTGCTTCAAACTAGCTGTTGTTACATTAATCTTACGATCGAAATGTCAACGATGCAATAGATGTCAACGATGCAATCACGGGTTACGGTGGCTGAGGAAAATTTTAAAGCACCTACATGAGCCAAGAGTTCAAAAGTTTGTACAGATTTTGTGGTAACTTTTTGTCATAAACAAAACTTCAATCCTTTTTCTTAACCTTTCAATTTCAGTTGCCGCTACCAACACGATCCCTCATTCAATCCAAATCCAAAACCACCATGCAGCATCAAAGGATGTGAACAAATTGAGCAAGTACGACTCGTATTCACTTTTGAACAAATTGAGCAACTGGGGATGTGAAATTTGCTCGTCTATTGGCCAAAATATCTACAGATCTACTTTTCAGGGTGCTCGCTACGGTCTCCTCGAGTGCAATCATGTTGTTTGTCTCTCGGATATCATCAATTTCAGACATCATCAAGCACATCCTGAGGATGGCGAAGAAAAGCATAAATTCAGGTTTTCAAATCTTTCGAATAATCTTAGAAACTTAAAATTTTGGAGATCTTGTCCCTTCTGTACTCGTCCCACTCGTTTCGTTGTGCCGACTCGAGTCTGGCCGAAAAATCATCACCAAAAAGAGGTGAAATGGAGCTGAAATTTGAGCAAAATTGTTCAAAATTGATCAAAATTGTTCAAAATGGTTCAAAATTGATCAAAATTGATTAAAGAATTGATCAAAATAAAGATTTAAACAATGTCAATCAATTAATTTTTAATTAATGCTTAGAAAATCATGATGCTTTACTTGAAGTACTGCTCAACGATCAGATGCCGTTATTATAAGGTGGGACTGAAGAAATTACAGTTTGGAAATCTGCTATAGGTTGATGATAAAGGACATGGTCATGGATGTCCATACGGCGGGAAAGTTTGCCTCTTCAAACACGAGAAATCTGATGGAAGCTTTGATCGAGAGGATCCACCCGAAAGAAATTCCCGCCAATCGCCAAATGAACATCGGTTCGGATTTGTTGAACTTTTGTTAGCGATGAAAAATTGGAACTTTAAAACACTTCAAAATCTTTCAGTGATCTGCCAGAAAATGATCAGGATCAACCCTCGTACACCGATGATTTCGAGTACTTGCACCATTTGCCGAATCTTGACCTGCAGCTGACTCTGGATTATCTGAAAGCTTCGAATCCAGCTCTTAATCTTGATGAGGACATAGAAAGTAAGTCACTACCATTTGGCATTTAAAATTTTAAATTATACAATTATAAATGAGGTGAAATCTTGACTTACTTCTTGACTAACTTCTGACTAAAGTAATAAAGAAGTGAAAGAATTGGCAAGAAAAATTCGAAGATAAAGTCGTAATATTCTACATAAATCTATTCCAATTTATTAGGTTATTCGGATATAAACGAGCGTTTGCACTGCTTAACTCGTGAGGAAGCCATTTCTCGCATCAGATCGCCTTTCCAATGGCGTGGAGATGCTCATCAATGGTAGAATTTGAACATCGAAACCGTTGAACAAGTTCACGCGTTGTTTGACATGAATCCGATTCGATTGCAGTCCTCAAAATATCGTTTTTTTACCGCTTGAGATCGACAACGATATTCTTGACGAGAGTGTCCATCATCCTCGAGACTTTCATCACCATTCCGAAAGCGTTGGAACCAGGCTCGGCATCGGCTTTCGAACAATACATGATTCCCAAATGCTTTGACCAAATCTCGATAGGATTCCGCGACTGTTTTGCCCAATTTGAAATCGTAAAGTAGGCAGACGCGAACTTGATATATTTGAAGTCGGTCATCTAAAGCAAGAAAAAAAGATCTTAAAAATAAGAAATTATCCGTTTAAAAAGATTCCAAATATGCACAAGATAACGTATTTTTAAATACAGAAAGATATGCTTTAAAAGCTTTCCTCACAACAATAAGTTTAGTAAAGCTTGTTTAGATCCGAACAACCTAATATTTTAGAAGCTTTTTCCTTTTACAGCTCTTTCCTTCTTTCCTTTGATCAATTTCATTTCTATTTTCGATCGTATCTCCGCCGAGCCTTATTCTCCCGACGAAACGATGGGTCACGGGTATTTCAACGACAGTGCATTCGTTCATCAAGCAAATGAGAAATGATATCTATATTCTTATTATTTATACTGTAAATCGATTACTGTGAGCCTTTTAAAAACTAGAAATTACCGCAAATTCATTAACAGAAAAAATTGAATAACTTTCATTTTAGGTTAGAAATTTCAGTTTTCAATTAAAAGTCAAAACCGTAGTTGAGTTGAGAAGTATCGGAATATTGAATAGTCAACAGATTATTAACGGTAACGTTGAAAGATTTGATCAAAAGATTTTCTTATTTATTTGCAAGTGAAATCAGAAATCTATACAGCCGTTTTTATTACGATAATAGATTACGATCCAAATTCCTAAATTCTGTCCAATTAAAGCTGTTAAAATAAAGACAAATCGACAAACCTGAGCCTGTATTCTCTTCGACCGGCAGGCTTTTTCAGGAAAATTTCGGCTACGCGAGAACACTTTGTACGTTTTTCCGGAACTCCGTGGGAATATTGTGACTACGGGAAGAGTACTGTGTTAGGGAAATGCCGTCGGAAACTTTCCGGTCGAAGAGAATACTGGATTTGGTTTAGATAGCTTTCATTTGGGGCAGGTTTACGTGGCCGTGTGGCCCAATGGATAAGGCGTCGGACTTCGAATCCGAAGATTGCTGGTTCGAGTCCTGCCACGGTCAAAATTTTTGACTTTTGCCCAAACAACCTTTTAGTTTCATTGGTTGTTTAATTGACTTAATAAAGTTGTTTCTTTTGCACTTTTTTGCCAGGTAATTAAACAACCAATAAAACTGAAAATCGTTTGCGCAAAAGTCGAAAATTTTGACCGTGGCAGGACTCGAACCTGCAATCTTCGGATTCGAAGTCCGACGTCTTATCCATTGGGCCACACGGCCATGTAAACCTGCCTTAACGGAGAGCTATCTAGACCAAATCCGAACAACGCTGAAAATTTGATTTAAAAGGATTCAAATGTGGAGAGCGATTTGGATGTGGACGGACTTGAAGATGTTCAAATCGGATGCTTTGATAAAGATAGAGCAATTCCCAACAGGATTATCGAAACTTTTTAATGCACACATTGACGAGTCTTGCGTGAACAAATCGATCTGCACAAAGACGAGAATAATGGATATGTAGGCAGCGATGCTTCAATTGTAGCTGAGTCCTAGGATTAAATCTGTTTGTTGATTTATTTGTTGATCATTGTTTGTTGGTGATAATGTTCAAATCGGATGCTTTGATAAAGATGGAACAATTCCCAACAGGATTAACGCTACTTTCTTTGTATGTTTATTTTACGAAATTCATGAAAAATAAGAATTTTTGCTCAATTTTTCTGCAAAATGGACCCTAATTAGCATAAAATTTCGCTTAAAAGCAACGAAAAATGTGTTTTTTTTTTATTGAAGCAAACCGCAAGTCGATTGGTTGAATATTTATTTCTAAATGAAACTTTAAAAGAAAGACCGAAGAATTCTGTAATGGTTGACGGGAGCAGATAAGCGAACAAGTTGGAGCAGATGGGCTTTTTAGCTTCAGCTTAAAGATGTTCTCGAACTTGCCCATATCATAATCTCCAAATATCTCTCAAACTTTCCCCACTTATTTCTTCTTTTTATCTTTTTCGTTTTTCTCTTTCGACATCGTTCTTTGCCTTGTTGTCGGCTTTTTGTTGGCCTCGATCACGGCGTATTCGCGCACTTGGATCAACTGAAAGTTTTTTTTGGTTTATCGAGTTTCCGGCCTGCTATAGAATAGCTTCAGCTCTACTTCAGCTCAAAATATTTTAAAGTTAGGTACTTTTTGTGTTAGCTCGGGGGGCGCAAATGCGCTTATAATCCTTAATAACATAATAAGTGGAATGCGTTTGTGAAACCGTGGCGCTCCGGGGCATGTGCTGTAAGCTCACACGGGCGCCTTCGGTGCAACAGAGGTGCAGAGCCAAAGTCTAGAAAAATATTGGACGCCTAGATTATTGTAAGCGCCTATCATATATTATATTATATATTATGATACATATAATATATAACATATAATAATATCTATTATATAATATATTATAATATCCTATAATATATTATATTATATAATATGATACATATAATGTATACCGTAAATACTGTAATAGTAGCCCACCCCCCATAATGACGATGCGGAGCGGTGCGTAGTCTAGCATTGAACGAGTTTTTCTCGACACTGGTTTATGCTACAATGCCCGCTTAGGTATCAAAAAATAGCTGAAATTCAGGGCTATTTTTTGATACCAAAGACGCATTTTTTGAAAGTACAAGCGCTTTGAAAAAAATGAAATACTAAAAAACTTTTGCGACTACGCGACTGTACGAGGGCGGTGGGGTACTATTACAGTATTTACGGTAGGTTAATTGCGGAATTTGTTATTTTTTCAACGGAAGTACGAAGAGGAACGAAAAGCCAGCACCGAAAGAGATCTTTTATTCGCAACTTTTCCTCTTTCATTTCACCAACCAAATTCATTCCACTTTCAAACCAATGTCCTTGATCGTTCGTGAAAATCCTCCGATCGATCTCATTCATCGATCCTCGAGCGTCTTCTAGTGTCATTTGTCCATTGAACAAATGCATCAAAAGGCTTCGATATTGATTGGCCACGTCGCTAAATTTTGCTAAATTAATTTCTAGATGAAATGTTTCAAGCAGAAAAAAACACAAATACAATAAAAATGGTTCGTAACTCACCAAACTTGTACGGTTTTTTGGCTGAAATACCCATGGTCCTTAGTGGTGCGATTCTTGACGTTCGTGCTTTGGCGATTGTTGATCACACGGCTAAATAATAGGTTGATGCATAAGTAAGTCTTTTCGCTTTTTTCGTACTTCTGTTAAAAAGTAACAAATTCACCAATTAATCTATAGTTTGCTCTATAAAAAAAGTGTTTTTTTGTTCAATTTGCATCTTTTTAAATGAATTTCGGTTCACTTTCAAGCAAATTCGAGAGTGAAAAACGCCTTTTTCGTAAAAATCTATAAAAAACTCTACGGAAAAATTGGCTGAATGAATTTCTCTGAAATTTTGGCGAAATATCAAACTTTTTTTTTCTCTATCTTTTATCTATTGACACGAAGATAGGTTTTCTTTAGCTAAGGTGTCTAAACCGCATCATCGAGTTAGCCCTTTTTGACTACCCGACTTCATACTCTCAAGAAAATCCAGGCATTAAATATTTTTAAACCCGTTTTAATGTTATTTTGCAGAAAAATAATTGGTTTTTCTAATGAAATCAACCGTAGTTTTATTGGTGCATTTGTTGGCTTGAAACGGCAGACGAAAAGGAACAAAAACACTTATGCATCAACCTAATATTTGAGTATTTACGGTAGGTACTTATTAAGGGTCAAGCCAGCCAAGCCACTGGCTGCTGGCGTTGCCCACCTTGATCTGCCTGGAAAAAAAACAGTTTTGAAATAGGTACAAGATCTACAGAAATTATGATAGATACTAGGTCTGATAATGATCAAAATGTTAGGCAAATGCCAGATGTAACAGTAGACTTGTTCCACCAAGGTCTGACCTTAGAACAAGTCTGGCCAGGACCAGGATTGTTGAGTTGGTTTTTCTTGGTTTTTCTAATGAAATCAACCGTAGTTTAATTGGTGCATTTGTTGGCTTGAAACGGCAGACGAAAATGAACAAAGACACTTATGCATCAACCTAATATATCGTATATTCCTACCGTAATTCAGGTAAACAGTAATCTGCTACGGATATAGCTACCGCAAATCCTCTAATGTAAAAACTCCTTTGTGACACAGGGGGGCAGGTTGTCAACCCGAATATTCTAATAGAACGACCCTCTATAGCAGCGTCGCGTAGTCGCAAGTTTACTCTCAAACAAACACTCATATCTCGACACCAGTACGTTTATTTCCACGGGCTTGGGTATCAAATTAAAGTAGAGAGGATGGATGATTTTTTGAGATGTAACACATATTATTAGCATTAACCAGCGCTTAGAAAACAATGATTGAAAAGCGGCAAAAAAAGGCGATTTTTCATCATTCAAACAAACGTATTGGTGTCGAGATATGAGCGCTTGTTTCAGAGTACACTTACGACTACGCGACGCTCCTATATGGGGGCTCTACCCTAATAGGAGGAAATACGGTAAATTGAAGCCTCGACTTGGACGGGTTACGGTAGCTTTCGAAAGTTGGTACTTTTTAGGAAACTAACCTATGTATATCCTTCCACAAGCTATTCGCCGCTTCCTGTTTATTCGTAGCTTCATGCCATTCTTCGATTCCTTTTCTTGAGCTGAAATAACAGTTTTAAAGAAGAAAGAGCTGAAATAACAGTTTGTTTTTTCTGCAAACCATATCATTTCCCCGTCTTTTCCCTTCCATTAACGTCTCCGCGTCTTTGTCGGTGAAGTGAAAATATGGGTCGATCTCGTTTGCCGAATGCTTCTTTAAAGTCATACTTGTTTAATCGCAGATAAGTAAGGGAAATTTTATCAAATTTACAGTAAGCTTTCTGTAAAAAATACTGTATTTACGGATGGAAGATGAGTGAAATCTGTGCAAAGTTTAAACCGTCAAAGTTGGACTGTGGTTGCACTTCAGGGGAAAGCTACCGTAATCCGGCTTTTTAAAAAGTATAGCCGAGGAAAGGATATGTCCGACCCAGTTCTGGTGTGAGGCCCAAGTGGTCTAGGTCAGGCTAAGCTGTCCAGGGAACCCCTTGACGTTACATTTCAGGAGTGATCTAATTCTGAGGTGCAAACACTCCCTGGTTAAGGGCATCCCAAAATTGCCTTCAAATTCGATTTATCATAAACCATTTTCGAGATATAAGCCTTCAAAGTTTTGGCAAATTTTGAGAAGGTGGAAAATCGGTTTGATGGATGAATACGTTTTAAACTTTGACATAACAGACGTACCTCTGCTTTGGGACATACCCCTAGCGAGTCGAGCCAAGCCAAGCGAGCGAGGAGCCCGGCCAAGCCAAGCAAGCCTGAGCACAGCCAAGCCAAAGCACTCTCCCCAAACAGTAAACTAGCCTAGTTAAGGTTTTTCCACGGGTCAATGGCACAGTCTTGGCAGCCTAGTGGATAGTGTGTTAGCGCGCGAGGTTTCTTTTGTGCCTGGTTCGAATCCTCTAATTGATTTTTTAGAAAGTAATCAGTAATCTCTTAAGTAATATTAGTTTGATGTCAAGGTCAGGCTAATCTGAGCCTAACCGAAAGCCAAGTCCTTTGTGGGTGAAGGCGAGGCAAGAGAAAGTCAGAAACTGTTATGGCTTTTATGCTAGCTTAGCATAACATTCCAGAGCCAACTGTAGGACAAAACTGTAGCAATGGCCGGGTAAGATCAGTAAAGGGATGAGATCTTCTCGCTGACTCATAAAACCAGCCTTTGCAAAAAAAACTAAACCCAAGTACGGTAGTTTTTCTCAAGTGCATATCAATATAGTCTTTTTTACAAGAATTCCTGGTCAAAAACCTTTCTTCCGTTTTTCTTCCTCTCATACAAAATTGCGGGTGGTGGGGGCGCTGGAAAACCGCCGAAATCCTCGATACACTCTGCCTCTAATTTCCTCCATTCTTTCGATTGCCAGTTTGTGTCTTTCCAATTTTCCAATAGTTGGTTGTTCTCATCTCTCACTCGATCTTTAATCTCTTTCGGAACATCTTCATAGACTAAAAGCTGTCATCTCTACTTTGTGCTCTCAGAAACACACGATTTCTTGGGGCCCTCATTTTTCTAGTTTTTACCTTTCCTAGATTTAAAGGAGTTGCTAATCATTCTCAGCTATGAGACCTACCTGGAAGGAGTAGGTCGACGGCAGAATTGAAGTCGGAATGCGTTGCTGGTGGCGGATTGTAGTAACGATGAGATGGACCTAGAGTGCAGGGTTTGGATCAGATAGACCAGTATTAGGTGAATCCTGGCAGATCTGCCCAAGGCCCTAGAAAAAGACTGACCTGGTTCTAGGGGTGCCTCCTGGGCGAAAAAGTCTGGATCACAGGCCAGGCTGGGCTGACGGTAGTCTATGGTCTCCTACTGGCATAGCCTAACAAAGATAACAGTCACTTGGAGTTGATACGTTTTAGAAAGAATGATTCAGTGACCTTTCTAATAAAGGGTTGCTAATCATTCTCAGCTATGAGTCCTACCTGGAAGGAGTGGGTCGACGGCAGTTTCTGGTGGCCGAAAGTCGTAACGATGAGATGGACCTAGAGTGCAGGGTTTTGGTCCGACATACCAGGATTAGGTCCTGGTATGATCTGGGCCCTCAAGGCCCTAGAAACAAGACTTGGACCTGGTTTCTAGGGCGTGCTCTCCTGGGCGATAAAAGTCTGAGCTCACCAGAAGCCAGGCTTGGGCTTGACGGCTACTGTCTATGGTCTTGCCTTGTCTGGCATCGCCTTAAGATAACACTCACTTTGGAAGTTGATACGTTTTAGAAAGAAATGACTAAGTGATCCTTTCTAAAATCTCACCTGGCTGACCCTGATCCCAAACGGAGTCTTCTTGGCTCCCTTCCATTGAACAATGCTGCAAAGGAGCTGCAAAAGGACTTCTTTTTATCTCTGGCACAACTCACTTTGATAGGATCCTTGAAATTGCACAGACTGCATATTGTAATCCTTGGGTGGTGGTAGATCTGAAATTTGAGGTCAAATTTAGGCCTAGGCTTCAACCGACCGTGTATCTGGGTATACCAGGCATTTTGGTCATCGGGGCAACCGATATCGCCCCCACCCGTCGTAATCATCATATTCTCGCCAAACACATGGCTCAAGTCGAGACCCTCTGTAAATATGCGAAATTCGATGAGCACAATGTACCATGTGAAATAGTCTCCTAGTTTATTGTCATTTTGATTACGAGAAGGTGGTGAGAGTTCGGGCTGTGGTTGTTGAAGCTGTGCTTGCTGGAGCTGTGCTTGTTGGAGCTGTGGTTGTTGGAGCTGTGGTTGTTGGAGCTGTGGTTGTTGGAGCTGTGGTTGTTGGAGTTGTGCTTGATATGGAAAACCAGCGACTGGCCGATTCTAAAGGGAGGCATTTAGCCAGGTACGGAGCTAGGTCCAAGTGCCGGTCCAGGCAGGTCCAAGCAAAGTCCAGCGCTAGATCTAGGCCAGAACCAAGCCAGGTCGAGGTCCAGCCTAGATCCAGGTCAAACCAGATCTAAGCCAGGCTAGACCCAAGCCAAGTCCAGAGTCAGAGCCGATCCCGAGGCTGGACTTAGTTCTGATCAGCCAGGTTCTGACAATGAGCCAGACTTGACCTGAACCCCAGTTCTGGTCAAGTCCAGAGGTCAAGCCAGGTTCAGTCCTCAAAGTGCTCACCTGTTCGTGTTCGAAATTTGTTGTCCATGAGGGAAAATTGCTAAATTTTGAATGTTACAAAAGAAAGTCTTAATAAAATGAATACCTTCAATCGATTCCCCGACCTCGGAAACCCCATACAAATTCACAGCTGAATGTCTTTTTGTTTTGTGACATCTACAAAGCAAAAGAAAGTTTCCTATTTGAAAGAGCTCTAAAAGTTCGTTGGGCGCGCGCGTAATCGCTCGCGATATCGCATCGCGCTTCCCTTGCGGAATCGGTGGAAATCGCTTTCTGGGACATTGCTATGCGCAAATTCTTGGGAACAATTTGGCCGTAAAAAATTTCTTAACAAAACTTCAAACAATTTAAAGTACTCATTGAAAAGCCCCCTTCAACGGAATCTTTCTTTGCCAGAAACCGACTTTTCATTTGAAAACGATTGTTGTATCTGAGCCACATCGGTCCTCGGCGTTCCCTCCTCCAAAAAGCGTTTTCGCTTGTTCTGCGGCTGACTGTTGCTCATCGCTTTTCCATTGTTTGACTGAAATGGATAATATAAGGTACACGGTAAAACGGAGAACCATATAATAGGTTGATGCATCAGTGTTTTTGTTCCTTTTCGTCTGCCGTTTCAAGCCAACAAATGCACCAATTAAACTACGGTTGATTTCATTAGAAAAAGCAATTATTTTTCTGCAAAATAACATTAAAACGGGTTTAAAAATATTGAATGCCTGGATTTTCTTGAGAGTATGAAGTCGGGTAGTCAAAAAGGGCTAACTCGATGATGCGGTTTAGACACCTTAGCTAAAGAAAACCTATCTTCGTGTCAATAGATAAAAGATAGAGAAAAAAAACGTTTGATATTTCGCCAAAATTTCAGAGAAATTCATTCAGCCAATTTTTCCGTAGAGTTTTTTATAGATTTTTACGAAAAAGGCGTTTTTCACTCTCGAATTTGCTTGAAAGTGAACCGAAATTCATTTAAAAAGATGCAAATTGAACAAAAAAACACTTTTTTTATAGAGCAAACTATAGATTAATTGGTGAATTTGTTACTTTTTAACAGAAGTACCGAAAAAAGCGAAAACACTTATGCATCAACCTAATAGATAAAATGGTAAAATGATAGATAAAATGGGTCGACGGTACTCATTTAATAAAGCTTTTAACGGTGAAAATGGATAAAACAAGATTGAAAATGGATAAATCAAGACAAATAGATAACTATTTAAAATTCTAGTATTTATCTAAAATTGCACAAAGATTGCTTTTAGTTTTGTACCAATAGCAAATAACTGTATCTTATTTTGAAGCTCTTCTACCGTAAACCCAGTTTGGCTTTACCGTAACTCTAAATCTAAATCCATAGCTGAATCGGGAAAAAAATAACATTTCAAATGAGACCTTTATTATGCTGTCAACAAGTTTCTTGGCATAAGACAAAGCAAGGGTCATCCCTTGCTTTGTCTTATGCCACGAAATGAAGAGTTGTGCAAGGAAAAAAATACTAAGATGCCTTTATCAATCAATAATTAGAGCTACCTGAAATCTTCTATTACAACGGCACTCAAAAGGGAATCGAAAAATAGAGCGGTATGCCGGTCTAATAAAGGATTTACGGTATGTTGAAGTAGAGTCAATCCTAGGCTTAAAAAAGATTCACTTTTTAGCTATCGACATTGTCAAAGACATTGTCATCAACCATTTGAAATTAAATATCCAAGCTTCTGACCTTAAAGTTAGTTTTATCTGGATACAAATGAACGTTTGATGCAAGTGGAAGCAAACCCTTTTCCCTTTTCGCCCCAAAATTTCATTTCTCACACTCACCAATCAATAAGGGTTGTTAAATGTGATCTCTTTTCTTGCTTCACACCCGATTTCTCCTCATTTCTCCCAATGTTTCCTCCTTTTTGGTCCGATAAAAGGAAATTTCATTTATCGCTTTTACTCGATTGATCGAAAAACATGGCATTTTCAAGTGTTACATCTTATTTTAGTGTTAAAGTACTACTTGCCAGTGAACCGCGCAACTTTAGAGTCCCAAATTGTTCTGCTTCTTTGAAATCTGTCCATCCTCGATTTCATGTACCCATCGACTCCATTCTAAAGCAATAAGCTGACTAATATCTGGGTATAGCTTAGCTCTAGAGGTTGTTGATCGCTTGTCGCTTGTTGTAGCTAGACTTACTGAACTAAATTCTTTAGATCCGAATATCAAATCAAGATCAAGACGAAAATGTGAGCTTTTTCAAATTTACAAGTTTTTATTTGGTACTGTTAGACTTTCCGCTAAATTTTGTACAATTTCCTGAACTATTTTTGAAATTTTCTCTTTCATGAATAGCTTTGGATAGCTAAAAAGTGAATCTTTTTTAAGCCTAGGATTGACTCTACTTCAACATACCGTAAATCCTTTGTTAGACCGGCATGCCGCTCTATTTTTCGATTCTCTTTTGAGTGCCGTTGTAATAGAAGATTTCAGGTAGCTCTAATTATTGATTGATAAAGGCATCTTGGTATTTTATCCTTTCTTGTTGGGTTTCCTGTTTCTTGTTGGGTTTCTTTTTGTGGTTCAGTTTCGGAAACATTGATCCGGAAAGCAAAAGTACAACTACTCCAAAATCCTCTCCTTTCACGAGCTTTTATTTTGCTTTTGTCTCGTCTTTGATTCTCATCATCGAGTTGATTCAATAAATTTAATTTGAAAATGTATTTCGAAAAATGACACCATTTCAAAGGAGTTTTTTTTCTTTAAAACAATGAAAGCGATAAGACTCAAAGCGAAAAAAAAATGAAGCTTTCATACAATCAAATAAAATGGAAAACGAAAATGCTATTACGTGATAGGCAGGGCAAATTTAAATTCTAAAACTTTCACTACAAATTGTCGATGAAGAAACCTCAGATTGGTTTTATTTTATTTACAGAAGTCATAGGAATAGATACTCCATCATCACGCAGATTTGTCAACATGAACTCTCAAAAAGAAGCCGGTTTTCAAATCGATTGGTGAACTGTTTGGCATCCAGAACACCTAAATAAATTAGATAGTAGATATACTGGCTTATTCAACCAATTCAAGCAAACAAATTCAATACAGAAACAAATCCAATCGAAACCCTATCCTATCTAAGAAAAACTATCTAATTCCATAACAGGATTTCAAATTGTTGACTTAAGTTAACAAAAAACCAAAGTTTATCACTTAAACTCGTCAGATCAGGAAGTTTTAATAAGATTTAGATAGCTTAGAACGTCAGCTTTCAGAAACTATTTGTTTTATCAAAAGTTATCCACATAAACTTGTAGAAAATCGGGCTGCAAGTTGGGCAAAAACTCGGCCCCCGCCGATCGTTGCTACTCCCGCCGTTAACCGTAAAGGTCCTTCCTTTTACTTTTACTTTATTCCGCTTTTGACTCTTGACTTTTGACTAGAGATCTACTGATGGAGGACTGCTGGAGGAGAGGACCGCCCCAACAATCCTGATCTAGAGTACCCCACCCCCATAATGACTGTGCGAAGTGTTGCGTGGTCTAGCTTTGAACGCGTTTTTCTCGACATTGGTTTATGCTACGATGCGCGCTTTGGTATCAAAAAATAGCCCTGAATTTCAGCTATTTTTTGATACCAAAGACATATTTTTTGAAAGTACGGCCGCTTTGAAAAAAATGAAATACTAAAAAACTTTTGCGACTACGCGACTGTACGAGGGGGTGGGGTACTATTACAGTATTTACGGTAGGTCCTTGCAAAAAAGGCCATAACATTTCTTTTTCTCACCTGCCTTTTAGGCACTCTCAATGATTCCTTTCGGAATGATATTTGAATTACACCCTGCCTCGTGTAGGGTGCATTTGATTTCCTTCCAAAGTTTCGACTCTGGAAGCACTAGGCCCAGCATCCTTTTAGGGGAACAGTCTTTTCCTTGACAATTTTTGTCTTTTCTCAACTACAATCGCTGGTACACCATTCTCTACCAATTTCAGTCTAACTTTTATCTTTATTAAGGTAAAACAGCTTCTACAGCCTTCTTTGAAGTGAAGTGAATGGAGTATTTAAACTTATTAAGCAAAGCATAACTCTTGAAAGTCAATGATCATTGTTTTTTGGAGTGAGAATGCTGGCGAATGAAAGGAAATAACCGTTTTAATGGCTGCAGTTTTATGGGAAAGCCAACCCGTAGTTTAATTTCAACGGGCATGGTGCATTATATTGCTCTGCTCTGCTCTTGAGATAACTCCAAACCCTTGACTAACCGAGCCCCAACGTTTCTTAACTTGGCAGATCGAACGGGATGCCGCGTTTCGATGTGGCCAGAACGTAAAAGCCTAGATAAATTTGGTTTTTCGTTTCTCTCAAAAAAACGAAATCTTAAAGGGAGCATAAATTTTTCAGAGTGAACATTTTGTTATCTTTTTTATTGTTTAAAATTATTTCAAACCTGAACCCCGTCGATATTCGAGCGACTTTCGTTATATGGAAACGATGATGGCTGATTGGTGGACGAAACAGTGCTTTGGATTTCTGAAATTCCCGGAATATCATCTTATGAAAAAGCCGCTTCACTGACAAATTCATTTGAATATTCCCCAAAATTCTTGTTGGTAAATGAGTTGAAAATTCTATGAAAACCTACAAGTGACAAGAGCGATTTTGATTATTTCCCCAAGTTTAAGCGTCCCCCTTCCCAATTAGTGGAATATCTTTTAGTTTCGGCAGAAGGGGCAGCTACGAAAAATCTACGCAGAAAAAAGGGCTTCGTAGCTTTTGTAGCTGCCCCATTTGTTTGAACTTTCCAAGAAAATTAAAAGATATTCAACTAGAGCTTACAGGAACATTTTAAAAGTATAGGTACAATAACCCAAAACATCCTTTTACTTTTTCAAAAAAACCTCTCTTTTCATTGGATTCTCCTCGAAATGTGATCATCAAATTGCCATTAAACGAAAAAAGGACTTCAACGGTTATGTCGACTTTGAAAGACTCTGCTTTTTGGCAGTTTTAATTCAAGTTCATTTCATTCACTTACCACATGTGATGTTTTGAGTTAGATTGTAGTGAATTTGCCCAGGATACGATGGATTTTGATACACTAAACACACGTTTATCTATTTGATAAGCAAAAACTGCCACAATTTGGGTATTCAAACGGATTCTGAAAGCCTCTCGAAGTGATCATCGTTGTCCCACGGCAAATGTGCTGAGCCCTTTTGTAAACGATGTTGTTCACTGAAATTTATGGTGCTCTGATGGATTGAATCAAAAAAAAAGTGTATCCGCTCCGATACTTTTGTTTTTTTGTGCATTGAATTTTATCTTATTTACGAGGGAAGGTCAAGTGGGCAAGATTGCCAAATAATATGTGCTATACATAATTGTCGCAACAAGGTATCGCGCACGCATAATTCTACACAAAAATAGCAATAGCAAGGCAAATTCTGCAATAGCTAGAACCTGGTGAAGAGCCAACACCAACACCAAAACCCGACTTCCATGGCAAGAAAGTAATGCTTAGCAAGTCTGGTGGAATTCCCAAGGCATTGTTTATTTTGAGCGGCTTAAACCTGGACATACAATCACGGATGAAACGTATGCACACCAACTGGAACGAGTGAACAATGTATTGCTCTACAAAAAGGCCTTGACCCTTCAAACATAAAGTTCATTCAAGATAACGCCCGTCCGCACGTTGCAAAGATTGTTCAGGAAAAACTCGAAGAGTTTGGCTGGGAAACTCTCCCGCATCCGCCATATTCTCCGGATATTTCTCTTTCGGATTACCATTTATTTCGCTCAATGCGAAACCATTTGACTGGAAACAGGTTCAAAGATGTTCAAGAGGTCGAAAGATGGCCGACTTCTTTAGCCGACTTCTTTTGCCTTAAAACAAGCCAATTTTTACGCCGAGGGAATTCATTCTTTGCATGGAAGATGGAAACAAATATTGTTAACAAATGATGAATATATTGTTGATTGAGCTGTTAAACTGTTTTTTTTAAAATAAAGAAGTTGTTATCTTAAAAACGCGCATTTATAACTGGACAACCTAATAGTTAGACATGTACTAAAATGTGAAAAACTTCACTTCACTTCAGCAAGTTCACTCTCAGGGGAGAACTTCATTCAACTATCAATTTGCTTCTCTGTTATTTGATCACCTTGCCCACTTGTCCTACCCTTGTTAGTGAAATTTTGTCGCATTTTTATTCGATATTTACCTGGAGGGATCAACGAAATACTTGGAGAGCATCCGGGCGGAATGAGTACACTGTAGAGCTCGGAATCGAGGTAAACGCTCACAAACGGGTCCTCATCTCTATTAGTTCTTCTTCTTTGAAAGTTGAGATTAGAGCTTGCGTAGAGTGTGTTCCGCTCAAGTAAACAATTACTCGCAAATTTGCTTTCCTAATGAAACAACCGAGTTTAATTGGTGCATTTGTTGGCTTGAAACGGCAGACGAAAAGGAACAAAAACACTTAAGCATCAACCTAATATTTGAGTATTTACGGTAGGTACTTATTAAGGGTCAAGCCAGCCAAGCCACTGGCTGCTGGCGTTGCCCACCTGATCTGCCTGGAAAAAAACAGTTTGAAATAGGTACAAGATCACAGAAATTATGATAGATACTAGGTCTGATAATGACAAAATGTAGGCAAATGCCAGATGTAACAGTAGACTTGTTCCACCAAGGTCTGACCTTAGAACAAGTCTGGCCAGGACCAGGATTGTGAGTTGGTTTTCTTGGTTTCTAATGAAATCAACCGTAGTTTAATTGGTGCATTTTGGCTTGACGGCGACAAGGCAAAAACACAACCTAATATCTAATCTTGCGTAATAGAATGATCTTTTAAAATTTTGGCGCTCTTTTGAATGAATGAGCCCCACGAAGACCGATAACTTTCTTTAAAGACAATTTTTTTTTGTAAGTTATTATCATAGTTTTGTAGAGGAGACTTTAGGCTTTAAAATGATATCAATTTGAGTACAGAGTTGTCCAGGATTACGGAGACTAGGGGTATCTTTGATATTGCATATTTTTCCTTACAATTTATCTATTCTTCTTTGCCTTTCTTTTGGTTTATTTTATTTATTTAACGATTTACTTAGTATTTTTTCTCAAAAAGAACTGTCTCTCTTTAGAATGGTCAAGAAGTTAGTGTGCTGAGATGCGATCATCGACCTGCACAAGCGTGGCGTTCTGGCGACAAACATCACTAAGCAATTGATGATACGCAAACAACTTATTTACAACGCGATCAAACGCTTTCAAGAGTTAGGAACAAATTCTGATCGTCCCGGACGTGGTGGTAAATCGACCGTTATCACCAAGGCTAATATCAAGAAGGTTCGAGATCAGCTACGCTTGAAAGCCACTCGTTCGTAGGCCAGGATGGCAAAGAATATGGGAATTTCTCGAACTTCTATGGGCCGTATCGTCAAAAATCTTCTTGGAATGAAAGCTTATAAGTTTTCCAAAAGCCAAAAGGCATCCGCACACAAAGCTCGTATCGTTCAAGATTGGTGCAAGCAGAATTTCGGCGATTTTATCATTTTAACCAGTGGCCACCATCAAGCTCGAACCTCAACCCTCTCGATTATTCTGTATGGAGTATATTGGAAGCAAAAGCATGCTCGAAACCCCATCCAATAGTCGATTCTTTGAAGAAAGTTTTTCAGAAAGCTTGGGACGAGCTGGACACGCTCTACTTTCTCGCGACCGTGGACACGTTCTCAAAACGCCTTCAGGCCTGTATGCCGCCCAGGGAGATCTTTTGGAAAAAAAGTAACTTTTTATGCTAAATTATTGTATTAAAAGAAATTTTGTGCTATTTTGGTGTGATTTTAATGTGAGGTGGTCTTTAAATTCTCAAGTTCTTTAGTCCCCGCAATCCTGGACAACCCTGTAGATCAGTAAATGAACTAGATCTGTACATGAACTAGATCTGTACAGTTCTTTAGTCCAGGACAACCCTTTACATCTTGCTTTCATCTTGCGATCAAATATAGCAATTGAGCTAGCCTTTATTCAAGTAATTTTTCAAGGCACGCCCTTCTAGGCACCTTCTCGCCACCGTGAATGCGTTCCCAAAACGCCTCCAGGCCGCCAAGGGCGATCTTTTTGAAAAAAAGTAAATTTAAAGTAAATTATGTTAAATTCTTGTATTAAAAGAAATTTTGTGCTATTTTGGTGTCATTTTAATGTAAGGTAGTCTTTAAATCTTTAAGTTCTTTAGTCCCCGTAGTCCTGGACAACCCTGTATGATTGAATGATGTCCGGCTTCTTTGCTTTCTGTACTCTTCTTGAGTATATTTCTTCTTTGCCTTTGATCCAATCATAACCAAATTGGTATCATTTTTAAGCTTAAAGTATTGTCTACAAAAGTATGCTAATAAATGACCAAAATATTGTCTCTAAAGAAACTAATTCGTCAAAGAAGTGGGGTAATTGATTTAAAAAAACCGCTCAACTAAGCAATAAGCTCGAAATTTTCAAATTAAAAGAATAAAATGATTGAAAATCACCGAAAAACAATCAATTCCGGCGATTCATTTCGATAATCGGGTGGGCCTGCGAGCAATCGATATTCACAATCTTTGTCGGCTCGGTCCTAAAATTGAAATTCAAAATTCAAAACCAAAGAAAAAACATTTCATCTTCCTACCCATCGAAATTTTGCCACCAAAGTCGATGGATACAAGCTCATCGAGAGGGAAATCCACGTGGCATCCGATCGAGCTTCAAAACGGAAAGGAACAAATGGAACCATCATACTGCTTGTAATTAGCTCAAAGGGATTTTCAGCTAAAATTTATTTTTGAAATTTGTGTTAAAGAGAGGGTAACAATCGAGGCCGATTCCAAGTGAAAAGCTTTTTTCATTTTCTTCTCAACGATCATTTTGTTTTCATTTGATGCTTTTTATAGCAAAAATGAAAGAAACAAATCGGCTGATTAATCCTGCCAAATCCTGCCATATTTGCTGATTTCCACAGATGTCCGATCCGCCATCTTGCCTCAGGCTTGCATATTCACAATCTTTGTCGGCTCGGTCCTAAAATTGAAATTCAAAATTCAAAACCAAAAAACAAACATTTCATCTTCCTACCCATCGAAATTTTGCCACCAAAGACGATGGATAAAAGCTCATCGAACGAATGGCTAAAAGATCGAATGGCTAAAAGCTTGAATGGCTAAAAGATCGAATCGATAAAAGGTCGAATCGCTAAAATCAAATTAGAGAAAACAATAATCAAAAAAAGAAAAATGAAGCCATAAACAAATAATCCCAAAAACCTTGAAAATCTTTAATTTCAAATAATCTCAAAATAAAAACATCTTGAATGAAAAGTCCAAAAAAGAAATGTTTCTAATTTTCTGCGAGGGGAGTGGCTTGCCAGTTGACACGTTAAAACCCGGCTGGAGATGCTCATCAACATCAACAAAAGTTTGCTGAATACGGCAGGAAATCAATCAGCCGATTTTTTTCTGCCATTTTTGGTATACAAAGCATCAAATAAAGACAAAATGATAGTTATCAGCGAAAAAAAAAATTTTCCACTTGGAATCGGCCTCGATTGTTACCCTTCCTTTAAAGCTATCTGGGGGCTCATAAGCTGATGCATCAAACCTATCCACTCAGATGCTCGAAACGAGATTGAGCTCTGCAAGGCATAGGCTACATCTTCCACGATCACGTAACCAGACCCGTGAACTTTCCCGTGACACATCGAAATGGCGAATCCGTTACTGGAGGTGTATCTAAAGCCGCAATGAGCGCAAATCTATCCAGGGTGCATAAGCCTTGTAATTTTGCTTGAAAACTTGTTCACGAAGATTCATTTCATTGAAAACAAAAAAAAGTTAATAAAACTCGGTTTTATCTTCTTTTGCTCGGATGCATTCGTGAAAGTTACTTGAAAAAAGTAGACCGTACGCCGCAGGCAATCTTCATCAAAATCACCTCAATCTTTCGATTAAAGCTGATATGAAAATCACTTCAAATCTTTATTTGAGTGATATTTTAATTAAAAAAAGGACATCCTTAGCTTAATTTTTTGAAAAGATTCACCTTTTGGCGCCAATCCATACGTCTTCCATTAGGATGGGGCTCACACCGCTTGGACTCTGCAACCCTGACGCTAGGGCAATCTGTTCAATGTTGTAGCCACTTCAGAAGCCTTATTTTGCTAAATTAAAGCAAAGAACTATTAAAATGTTACTCAAGTAAAGATTTAAAGTGATTGGCTGATATGAATACCGTATTTTCTCTAATGGTAGTGCAAAACCGTCACCAGCCCGGCGAGCCGAGCTGGTGACGGTTTTGCGGTTTCCAAGCTTTTGCAGAAGCTCAACACTCTAATCCCCCACTAGATCTCATCGTCAGCTACATTTCCCAACCCCACATCGATAGATTCTGATAAGCGGTTCTCGAGATTTTGAGCAATTTAGGCGACGCTCAGGGTGCACTACTATTAGAGAAAATACGATATCTAAAACCAGCTACGCGTGCAGTCTAGCTTTCCGAAGTACGTGGGGATATTCTATCTAGAGGTACTGGGAGCACATAGCGCAAATCTGATTGCAGATTCGGATTCCTCACCCCCGAAAACCCCCGAGTACAAATTTTCAGCTTTCTAGCTCACTTCGTTGTAAATAATTTTACGTTAACGTATTTTGTATTGTCGCGTAGGCGTGACAGAAAAACGGATGGACGTTTTATTGTTTGAAATGCTGCCAAAGTTTCTCGAAAAACTACTTGATTTATACCGTATTTTCTCTAATAGTAGTCACCAACCCGGCGAGCCGAGTTGGTGACGGTTTTACGGTTTCCAAGCTTTTGCAGAAGCTCAACACTCTAATCCCCCACTAGATCTCATCGTTAGCTACATTTTCCAAACCCATATCGATAGGTTCTGATAAGCGGTTCTCGAGATTTTGAGGAATTTAGGCGACGCTCAGGGTGCACTACTATTAGAGAAAATACGGTATCAGCTTTAATCAAAAGATTGAGGCGATTTTGATGAAGATTGCGGCGCAAGTAGTTTTTTCCAAGTAGTTTTCACGAGTGCATCCAAGCAAAAGAAGATAAAACCGGGTTTTATTAACTTTTTTTTGTTTTCAATGAAATTTATCTTCGTGAACAAGTTTTCAAGCAAAATTACAAGGCTTATAGGTACGGTCAATAATTTTCAACCATTACTTGGCTGTGCATTGATCAAACTCAATGGGGATTCCGTTGAAAGAAAAGATTCCATACGCACAAGTTTCCTAGAAAACGATTCATTTTAGATTTATTGGAATGACAGTTTTGCCTCACTTTTAGTAGTATGTAAATTTACCAGCCCACTAACAAAAACAGATCTCAAATCTTATAAAGCTTGCGTCATAATTACCCGGACAAATTTGTTGCACTTCGAATCGGCCATTTTGTACCGTTTTTTTTTCTTCACTTTTCCATGTCTATATATTCTTTTAAATGTTTTAATGCAAATACAACGGCGGACAACCTTTGACTTTTATGCAAGATGGCGCGTAAATACTGTAATAGAACCCCACCGCCATAATGACGGTGCGGAGTGTTGCGTAGTCTAGCTTTGAACGCGTTTTTCTCGACACTGATTTATGCTACAATGCGCGCCTAAGTGTCAAAAAATAGCTGAAATTCAAGGCTATTTTTTGATACCTAAGACGAATTTACTGTAACTTTATGTAAAGTTTAGTGTCATTGTAAAGTTGGCCGGTCCTCTTGCCACCTGTATCGCCATGTTTCAAGATGAGGCAAGCGCTAAGAAGGTGGGGAAATTAAAATAGAAATAAAATTTTTGATACCTAAGCGAGCATTGTAGCATAAACCAGTGTCGAGAAAAACTCGTTCAAAGCTAGACTACGCAACACTCCGCATCGTCATTATGGGGATGCACATCGGCGCGAAAATGCGTTTTCTATCGGATTTTTCCGGGAGTAAAAAAAATTGTGCAATAGAGAATTTTTAAAATTTTCTCATTTCTTTTTTAAAAATGTTACAACTTTTTGTAGAGTTGAGCAAATTTTAATGATTTTTGTATCAAAATGTTCGTGAGAGTCTCTAGAATAAAGTTATCCCCGCGCTTTTGGTTCTAGGTCCTCGTTGTCGAGTTACGAGCCCCAAACTGCAGGGTACCACAAAATTTCCCATACAAAATGACCAAAAAACCGCTAAAACTCAATTTAAAAAATTTCTGTCAATGGGATTTGAAAAATTCCTTCAGATTCGGAATCAGCACAATTTTCCGCATCTAAAAAAGGTACTCCCGGAAAAATCCGATAGAAAACGCATTTTTTGCCTTATTTCGCGCCGATGTGGGATGGGGTACTTTTACAGTATTTACGGTAATTTTATTTGTCCGGGTAATTATAACGAACCCTGTAGCCGATTTTTACCAGATCTTCTATGTAGCAATTGACGGAGATTTCGGCCAAAATATAACAATTTGAATCGTCAGCACAATCATAATTGAGGAAAAGAGGATCGAAATCAACTAAATTAATAAGATTTTGAAACTTTGATGGTTGGGAGGAGCCACTTTTCTCTTGGCTTAGTTGGATCTAATCTTTTGAGTGGTTGGATTTTTATCTATTCTAGGATAATCAAATAGGCTTAATAGATTAGTGACTATTTTAGCAAGTTTTTGGCAATTCTAGCCTAATCTCATGTACTTTACCCACCAAACGCTACCTCAAAGCTGCTTACACTTGAAAATCAAATAAAAGCAGAAATATGAAACTTGAAACATGTTGTAAATGCTCTGAAAGAACAAGCATATTTGATTACCCTTGGATTTGATTACTTAGATAGATAAAAGGTATCAATACAATCACTCAAAACATTAGACTTGAACTAAGCCAGGATAAAAGTGGCCCTCCCAACAAAGTACCAAGGTTTTTTTGTTAGAAAGTAGTTCTGAGTTGATCTTCTCAAGGAATGCTTTTTCTAAGGTTTTTTAAATTCTCTTTACTAAATTCTCGGTTCTTTTCCCTTATAAATCCGCAAAATTTGCATCATTCCATGAAAATGAACAAGGAAAACCAAAGAAAATTCATTCTTTTGCTATTTCTTGAAGTGGATTCATGTTTACCGACTACCGAGGACGATACAATCTCGTTCTTTCAACAACCTTTCAACAACAAGCTTGCTTACTACTCGCACATGCGCCAATGATCACATTATAAAGCTATCGCTCGATCAGAATCACCGATGGAGATGTGATAAAACGTCGTGCTGGACAGCGATCACTTCCGTTCTTTTTCAGAAATCCGTGGCTGCTCTCCCCTTAATAGCTTGCCGCCGTCAAGTGCTTAATAGCTTGCTGGACAGCAATCGACCCACTTTTTGGGCTCATGGATGGAGGGCACCAAAATTCCGTTTCTCACAATCCTACGATTCATCTATGGATAGACTCAAAAGAGGATCTCGATCGACTATTGTGCGAAAGAATTGGAGATCAATCACAACACCGCGGTCGACTTCAACCACATGAGAGATATGTTTATTCTTTTGATTATTTATTTTTGATTTTGTTTAAATCGATCAATTTTTGAATTGATTGCTCGTTTTTTAATTATTAAATGATTAAATTTTACGAATGTATAAAGGAAAAGAAGGAAATTTTATGGTTCTTGCCTATGCTTCTTATCCAATCTATTTATTTTCGTATTTCTCAGATCCTCTTGTGAGCTCTCACAAAAATGCATTAGAGAAAAATTGTCCGTAACTTTTGAACACCTTGTATAGAGTACTGGACAATGAAATATGATATTTGAAAAACGATCGTCACTTTCGCGCGTCTGTAACTTCTTGTCTTTGAGTTTAAACAATTAGTGTTATACATTTTCTGAAACCTCTTTTCAAGGGCTACACAATGGTAATGTTAATATTTAGAAATACCGTATTTTTTGACGCATTTCAGCGCGCGCGAAAGTGACGATCGTTTTTCAAATATGATATTTCATTGTCCAGTACTGTATGTACAAGGGGAAATCCTCACAAAGAAACGTGTCATAATTGTCTCCATTGAGGATGAGTTGGGGCATCGTTTCGTTTAGTTCAATCACTTCATAAAATGTCATATTGGGTATTGGTTGAGGACGTTTTCCTCTCATCATAAACCCCGATGTGTAGTCAGTGATTTTCGTTGTTTCCGCATAACACCAAGTGATCTGAAAGTTAGTCTCAAAAGATTGTGGAAAATAGCTTAGGCTTAGGCTTTGGCTTAGGCTTTGGCTTTGGCTTTGGCTTAGGCTTTGGCTTTGGCTTTAGCTATTGGCACCTCCAAACAGTCAATTTGCTTCACAAATGGTTCGACGGGTGGCTCGGTGTAGCTAAATTTTGAAGTGAAAACAATAAGACTTTTTTATGCTAAAAGAACTTTTCTTTGTATTGAATTATTTGATGATTGCACTCATCATCATCGGTTATATAGCCGATCATCTCAAGTGAGCCACCACTCAAATAATCGATTTCGAATTCGACCCATCTCTGGGTTTTCGGCTAAAAGATCAATGTGGGGGTAAGTATTCAATTTTTAAAAGAAAATTAAGAAGACATAAAATAAGAAAATCATAAATTTTTCACATCCCTATCACCCACAAACAAATCCAAGTCAAAAACCGCGGAAAATCGCTGACATTGCGAGAACTGACGGGGATTATCCAAAAACCAGGGATAATTATATGGAGAGAAGATTTGATGGCCATTCAATGGTTGCCAATGTTGTGCTATAAAAGATCACTCAAATAGATCTGAGCCCTATGCGACGCTCGGGGAATTTATCTTGGTGAATCTTTCCCCTGACCTTCGCCGAGCCGGCAGCTACGCTCAAGAGAAAATTTCCTAGGTGGAAAATCTACCGGGGAAAATTATGTAGATAAGGTTTATTTGATTTGATTTTATCAATTTTACAAATATATACAATTTATACAATTGATTCAATCAACTTTTTACGGAAAATTCTTTAAGTTGAGCTTTTTTGCCTCAAAACTGACTTGTTTACAAGTCAAAGGAATGAGAAAATGAAAAAAAGGACCAGAATTACGATACGGTAGAAATTACGGTAGAAAAACGACTACAAATATTAGAATATTCAGCTTATCTTCTGTCACTGGCACTAATTTAAGCAATAAGCAAGTCTATCCATATACAGTGCCGGACAAAAGTTGAAGAACACGACCTCAAATTATGGAAATAGCTCAATATCTTTTAGAAGGTGGAGAATTTGATTTAGGTCTTAAAAGCATTTTTGTTTGTCTCAATTTCAAGAATTAACCACATTTTATAACAGAAAAAGCTCAAAAAAAATTTCCTTGGGGGAACGACCTTGAAGCGTAACTGTCGGGGGAAAAATCCCTGGGGAAAATAGGCAATTCCCCAAGCGTTTTCCCCAAGCGTAGCGTAGAAGTACGAATTTCTCCGGGCGGATGAAATCCCCGAGCGCAGCATCTGCTCTCAACATGAAAAGCAAAGTTAGAACCACGTTTTTTAGTTTTACATCTATTTAGCAAGTTTCGAGATTTTGAAAGCATTTGAATCATGAATCTACTAGACTACTAGATCAATTATCTAGTAGACTACTAGATTAATCATCTACTAGACTACTAGATCAATCATCTACTAGACTACTAGATCAATCATCTACTAGACTACTAGATCAATCATCTACTAGACTACTAAATCAATCATCTACTAGACCACTAGATCAATCATCTACTAGACTACTAGATCAATCATCTACTAGACTACTAGATCAATCATCTACTAGACTACTAAATCAATCATCTACTAGACCACTAGATCAATCATCTACTAGACTACTAGATCAATCATCTACTAGACCCACAAACCATCATCCCGTTGACTATAAACAGCACAAAAAGCGCACGATTGATTGACCAAAATCGTGAAAACGCTAATACGCAAATCGTAGGCGGCAACGGTTGTGTATCTGAACGGAATGTTTTTATGCTATGATCAAATCGAGAATTACGTGACATCGGCAAGATGATAGGCATTGTATTTGGCGAGGCCTGGATCTGAGCCAGCAAAGAATGAGAATTTGGTGTTTTGTCGGCACTTCAGGTCTTCCTGTGAAATTGGAGATCAAAAGTCCACCAATAAACCTCTACCTGATATAATGGGCACTGTCTAAACTCTTGAGCTGTCCAAAATACCTCAAACGATGTGCGAGGACCGGTGTGGGACCTTCTAAACTTGTCTCTTACTCATTTTTTTTATCTCTTAGATTGGCAAAACAAGGCAAAACAAACAAAACAAGTTTTCGCGATTTTTCAGAATCTCTAATCACCAAATATCAAAACGCTCTTTTATGACTTTTTTTTCTAATAAAAATTTATGTAATGATCAGTTTTTGAATCAAGGTTTTCTGAAGTAGAAAGATTTATCTCAAGGAAAGTCAATTTTTCTGAGTATTTTCAATCAAAAACTGATTCCAAAAGAATTAAAAGGCTTTTAGAATTGAAATTGCAAAATACAGTAGGCATAATGATAAAAATTCACTTGAAATTTTGAAGAAATACACGATTTTTTTGATAAATTCCGAGAAAAAAGAACATGAACTCGGAAAACCTCAAATTTGACTCACAAGGGAAAGATGTAATGATTGGATCCCGCGGCCTTTTCCGATGATGCATAGACCATGAAGGCAGAATTTTACGCTGATTGCAATCATGTAAAAATTAGCTGCCCAAAGGTCCGTAATCACCGCAAAAATTGGCATAAAAGTTTGAGCCTCTCCTTTAAACCCTTCATCGGTGTCCAAGTGGTTGAGTGCTTCTACAGCAAGCTGGGGATCGAGAGTTCAAAATCTATCGGTCTCATTTTTTTTCCATTCTACGCTCTTTGTTTTATAAAGTTGAACTGTCAATTTTTCTGAAATATCAGTGCTAATTGTTTGGAGTACGAGAAGCTCGAAGTCACTATAGGTTAAAGGCTTTCGAACACTTTCATCAATGCCAACACAGTTCAAGAAATTTTAAATGTCTCGTATTCCATCACATCGCCCACTACACCTCCCTGAAGGCATTCCTCCCTGAAGACTGTGCAAGCGTTAAGAAGATATGCCAAAAAACGTGTTCGCTAAATAACTCGCGTTACAGAGTTCCTTTGGAAAATCTAAAAGCAGCATCGGAATCCCCATAAAATTCTCGACAAGATGGTCTAGGTCTCATTTTAAATGAGACCTCGACCTTGTGTCATTCCTCCCTGAAGGGAGGCACCCTCCCTGAAGAGTTATGCTCTTTGTGGGTCCACATAAACGCTTTTCTCCTGTTTAATTGTAGTTTGTCATTCTTGTTAAACATTTAATAGCTTGTCAATGGATACAGGGTGGCCGAATTTGGTGCGAGATTGTTGACTGGTAGATGATGCCGGGTTTATCAAAACCTATTGAACGTATATCCAAAAAATGTAGCAAGTTTTCTGTAGTCTCTGAAACTTATAATTATTTTACAAGAGGTCTTTTAGTTTTTGAGTTATGCCCTTTTCCGCGCCCTCCAAAAAAAAGGCCACTGCGCCGAAAGTGATGTAGAGGTTCACCCTAGAATGCTGGGCTCTTGTCACTTTATTTTTTCCATAAACAGTTGCCCATTCTAGAAAAGCAGATTTCTATCATAAATTGTACTGCTTTGACACTTAATAAATCCGAAACCAACGAACTCACTCATATGACGATGGACTGACAACAAAGACGGCAATTGTCTCCTCATTTATCAATATCACATTGTCGGCTTCTTCGAAAATATTAAACGAATTGTTCGAACTCATCGGCACCACCAATACCTTTTTCTTGTCTGAATCTCGGCGATAGCTTGACTAAATGAAGAACAAAAACGAACGATCAACCCATTTTTCGACACGAAATGAAATCGCGTACTCCATGTTGACGGCCTCATTTCGTGGATTAACACTTATTGTCTCAGTAGCTGATATTCTCATCGTACAAAAATACAACACTTTTTCAAACTTCCAAGTGTAGGGCCTAAAAGTTTACATAAAAAAAAATTGAGAATATGCTAAACATTGTGTTGCAATCGACAAACGTGAACGTCTTTTTATTGAGCGTGAACGGAATGGGATCCATGCACAGTGTGATGTTCCCATGAGAGATCGTCGGCTGTTGATGGGTGGCATTCTCAAAAAAAATGAAATAATCAGGGTTTTTCAAAATTCACTTTATTCCGCTTAAGCTTTTCGAAAACGGATCTAGCTAAGAAATTCTAAAAAACACGTATTTTTTCTATTTTTTCCCCATGAGCCCTGGTTTTCGAGAAAAACGTTTCCAAAGTTTCGACAATTTTTGTCAAACATCCACCTCATCTATACGCCGAAAGGATTTAAAAAATAAAATCTTAATATAATAAAACCTTTTTATACTTGTTACAAAAAAAGGCAAAATAAATTGGCGGCAAGCGGAATTGAACCTGCGAGTAAAAATAACATATGCTTTAGATATCTCACCTATAAGAGGGCGCCTATAAAGGATTTTGAAAAATCTTAATACTCAAAAAAAACCTTTTTTGAATGTTTTGAATTTTGTTTTGAAGTTTTGAATCCCGATTTTACATGCTATTGGGTTGTCCAGTGTCCAGTGTTTAGTCCAGTTCTTTATGAATGCGCGTTTTTACTATTTTGTAAATTTCTCAAGATATCGAACAGATTTATATGAGTGTTATATATCATTCGAAAGCTCAAGATCTCCTCTACATTTTGGAATAAAAAAGTTTTTGAATTCATTCAACTTTTTCGGGAATTGACTGCACAAAGGGAGAGGTCGTTTTCGAAAAAAACCCATTTCAGCTTAGCTATTCCTCAAGTTTTATGGTGTAAAATAACCGCCCAGAAAAGAAAAGAAAAGGAAAGATGCTCTGAAATTGTTATATTTAAAAACAAGTTGTATTGATATATCTATTGGCCAAACATCAAACGGCTAACTCAATTTGAGTGGAGGCAAAACTTGATCTAAAGGCACCCTTCCATTTTTTTGGCCACCTCTTCTTCTGTGCAGTCAATTTGCCCAAAAGCTGAACAAATTCAAAAACTTTTTATATCAAAATGTAGAGGAGATCTTCAGCTTTCGAATAAAACTCATATATCTTTTTCTTGATTTCGGTATCTTGAGAAATTTACAAAATAGTAAAAAACGCGCATTCATAACTGGACAACCCAATAGATTCCTCGCGTTTCCGTGGCTATTAGCGGCTAATTTTTGTCGCGTTTTGTTCGCCATTGCCGATTCTATGTTATGCATTGTGTTTTCAGTCGATTCCGATCTTTAGGTTAAGACAATTCCCTTGTTTGGAAAAAACGATCACCTTGGTTTGTGGAATATATTGGCAGTCTCTTTGTGAGAAATCGATCAAAAAATCGCAATCAAAACAACCGATGATTGAAATGTTCTGAATTTTGTTGATAAATCGCAAATTTTAGCTCATCGACTTTTAAAGTTAAAAGGTGTTTCCCGTGAATCGCAAATGATGGATTTTCTCTTGATAATCGGTACTCCTCATTGGAAATGTTTTTCATTAAAAAAGCAAATAAAATAGCGAAAACAAAAAACATTTTTCTCATAGCCAATGATTTTTGGTGTTTTAGTACAAATTCTAGATTCTACTTTTTTCGGTTTAAGAATCAAAGGAAAGGGAAAGACTAAGGCAAAGACTAAGGACCTGATTAGTCTTGAGATTAGTGCCTTCATTTCTATTTTGATAAGAAAAACAACTTTGAAAACAAAAAAAAATGAAATTTTTGTAATCGATTGAGAAAGGGGGTGAAGAATCCTTCCAATTAGATCTCAATTAATATAAACCAGTGAATTCATATAAATTTTAATGCTTTCCCATTGTTAGTTGGCATGAATTTCAATTTTAGGAGCAGTAAGCAATTTGCATAACCTAAAATCTTCAAAGCATTTCATAACAGAAATTTTTCTAACTAAATTGCTAAACTTCTCAACTTAGAAAATGAGTTAAGGCTAAAGTTTTTTCTATTTCATTTTTCAACTAATTGCTGTGAGCATTCGGGAATACTGGGCCCGGGTTCACCATTCGCAAGATCTTTTGCAAGTCGCAAGGTTTTGAACACAATTCAAGTTCACCCAGGGCTGGACGAAGAGACGATTTTCCAGGCCTGGCCCTGGGATTGGCCTGGCCTGACCCTAGCTTTGACCTGGCCTGGCCCTGGCTTTGGCCTGGCCTGGCCCTGGCTTTGGCCTGGCCTGGCCTTGGCTTTGGCCTGGACTGGCCCACCAATTTTCGAATTCGAATGCTAATTTAAGTAGTAAAATGATAGTTTAATATGTTATAATATTAATGTGCTTTAGTTTTAAATACAATAGTGTCAAGAATCATTTATCTATCTAAGAAAAAAAGCAAATGTAACAACGTCAAGATCGTCAAAATTAGCAACAATAAAAACCCAGGCCAGGCCAAATCAAGGTCATGGCTTTTGGCTTGGTTTTGGTCTGACCTGGCCTTGGCTTGGCCTGGCCGGCCATGGCTTTTGGCTTTTTCGTCCAACCCTAAGTTCACCAATAAAACCTAGCGAAATTCAACTTGCGAAATTTCGCAAGACCTTGCGACATATAAAATGACATATAAACGCTGAAAATGGGATTAAAAAGTAATATTTTTAAAAACGGACTTCAAATTCGTGATCAGCATATGCATTTACTCTATATAAACAAAAATTCTGAAGTAAATTGTCATTTTTTTTCGAAAAATCATGAAGGGGTACCACATGATTCTTTACAAAAAAAAATCAAATTCATTAAAAAACCGTAATTACTCAAAAGTTAAGTCTAGTAAATGCTCTTAGTAGAAAAAAAACATAGAATTCACAGTTTTTCTAGTGTTATTAGTCTTACTTATTTATTTATCTTATTTATTTTTTGATGAAATCGCTCTGAGCACTTCAAGTTTTTAAAGATTTGGTTTGAAAACATTGTTGCTTCAATGCGTAACACTAACTTCAATATATAAATACTTTATTTAGAAAGAAATGAAGTGTGAAAACGACATGAAAAATGTACCAGATAAAAGATTAAAATGCAACGAAATAGCCCTTTTAAAATCAGACACGGTGGAGATCAAACGCAACTTGTCGGGAAGGGCATTCCAAACTTTAGTCACACGATTTACGAAAAAAGCTCTAGAGGATTTAGAGAAAGCAGATTCGGGATGCAAGATAAAAGAGCCACGCCTAGTCGCCAAAAGCCTCGAGTTTAGTCGAAAAAGATTTTTAAAAAGAGGGTTTTGATGTTTTCCTTTTACAATTTTAAAGCACTCAACAAAATCTATGATAAGACGGCGTTGTTCTAAGGTTTCAAATGAAAGAAATAAAGTGCGCAAACGACATGAAAAATGTACCAGATAAAAGATCACAAAGTCACTTAAAATGCAACGAAGCTTTTTTTTTGATCTGTCTTCGCATTCAGGTGTTCCTATTTGCGCAGATCACAACCTGCTTCCACATTTCTCTATCCCTTGCTATTGTCATCCAGTGTTTCCTATCTTGATTGTTTCTGGTTCGAAGTCGTCGACTTGCTTGTGCTGGTGGTGGTTGCCCTCTAGCCATCCTTTCTCTTACCGTCTCTGCCACTCTTGTGCTCCACCTCGTTGCTGGTCTTCCGATGGGTCTCTTCTGGTCTCGTGGTAGCCACTCTGTGATCCGTATCGTCCATCTGTCGTCTGTTCTTCTGGATGCAACGAAGTAGCCCTTTTAAATTTGTAAGATAGACCCTTCAATATGTAAGATTTTCTTACAGATATCCTTCAACTTTATTTAAATCATAATTTTAACAAGAAAGCACAAAAAGACACTCCAAAAAGAACTATGAAAAATCGATTTCAATAATTTCTTTTTGGGGGGTGTCATCATCGAGTTAGCAATCATTTTCATCATCAAATCTAAAGGGTGCGCCATAATTACCCGCACAACATTTTATAGGTAGGCCCAGTGATTTTTTTTCTTCCTTTTTTACTGGACAAGATTCTTTTGTAGTTCTTCCATCTGTTTTCTTTCGTAATTCATTTGAAGTTTTTAGGTGAACGTAAAATGGTGAAGGCATCGACAAGTCAAGGGGCGATACTCGATCTTCATCAATTCAACATCTTCATTCTCCACCCGACATCATTCGACGACTCAAACTGCCTCGGCGTACGGTTTATGATGCTATCACACGTGAACCGTCCAAGAATCTAAGGACCGTCCAAGAATTTAAGAACTTAAGAACCGTCCAAGAACAGGAAGAAAAGTTACCGTCGCGACCAACCAACAAACTGCCTCGGCGTACGGTTTATGATGCTATCGCATGTGAACCGTCCAAGAATCTAAGGACCGTCCAAGAACAGGAAGAAAAGTTACCGTTACGACCAACAGACTCAAGAAAATCGTCAAGAAACGAATTCAACGAAATTCGACCATCATAGCTCATCAACGATCAGCATAGCGCTAAATCTAGACTCAATTTTCGGGAAAATCAAAGCCAAAGTTATTTTTATTTATAGAAGTTAAAAAGGCAACTTTCATGTGTAAAAATAAGCTTAACAAGTCGAATTTTTTGTACACTTTCAAGCAAGTGTACAAAAAAGATTTACAATCACTCATCTAACCGACTTTTCGACTCATGAATTCTCTTTTTTTCTTCAAGGATCTTTCCTTTTTTCTTTTTTTTCCTTTTTTCTTTAAAGAGAACAGTGATAAGCCGAAAATTCTTCACAAATTTCCCCTGAAAAAGACCATTCTACCATTCTCAACTATTTTCTAGCTAATCCTTGCAAAAATTTTGATTGATTGATGATTTCTTGATCAGAATTTATAATGGTCAAAACCATTTGCACTCGTCAAACGATTTATCTAATCATTGCAATAGCTATTGCTTTGATTGGCATCTTTCTCGTCGGACCTTTCTACTTTGTGCTTTTCGGGAAATTAGTGGAAACACAGATTCCGTTGAAGTGAGTGAGATCTTCGTTTTCAATTTCCCATTCTTCTCAGATTCAACTTTAAACTGAGTTAACTTTGACTTTGACTTATCATTAGTGAAAGTGAATGAGTGAAAAAGGGAAAAGCTAATGGAATTTCCAAAATCCAAGTCCAAGATATTGATCTTTAAATTTAACCATACAAAAGTTTGGTAGATGCTTTGGTTGAAGTGGAGCTTTGGAGCTGGGTTGGTGGAGCGAAAAGAGAACTTTGGTGGAACGAAAAGACTTTCTTGTCAACCGAATAAATCAGTTCAGATACTTTTATCTGGCTATAAAATTAAGAAGTTTAACTAGGTAATTCGGTTTATTTTTTTCATAAACAGTTGCCCATTCTAGAAAAGCAGATTTCTATCACAAATTGTACTGCTTTGACACTCAATAAATCCGAAACCAACGAACTCACTCATATGAAGGGAAAAGCTATTGAAATTTTCAAAATCTAAGTCCAAACCCTCTAACTGAAAATCAGGAATTTCGATGAAACTCGGGAAAAGCCTGAATTCCAATATACCCTAAAGTCTCGAGTATAAATTCATCCGAGTATAAGTTCTGCCTTAATTTACATTCGCTTTAATTGCTTTGAATTTCTTTTTGTTGGGTTTTTATACATTTTTATTGTTATATAAACTTTTATTATTGTTCTTGGGGCGCGGGATACTACAGGGTGAGAGCCTATCACCATTGCTATTTGTTATGCATACATCCAGACGATAGTGTTGGAGGAGACGCTGGAAAGCATCTCTTTCGACCGTCGAGGTGGACTTTGACCGGATGAAGAGGCCAGGGAGGGATCCATAAGACTGAGCACCGGAGAGGAGCAGGGCGGACGCGCCGAGCCACGCCCGGAGCAACAAATAACAGCATAAAATTGCTATAACCCTCAATAAATTTACTTCTATTATTGTTCTTAAAAAGCAAAAAAGTTATGCTGCAGCGGGGTTCGAACCCTCGACACACCGCACCGGAGACAGCCGTCAATTTGCATGCGAAAACCAAACAGAACTTATACTCGCGACTTTAGGGTAGATTTTAAGTACAACAGTTCAATAAACTTTTTGCAAACTTTATTCTTACCCGAACAATCGAGCGACGAAGCATAATCTCCTTTCCACCAATTCAGCGACGTATTCCCGGCCCTAAACAAGGATTCAGTTATTGAATTGATGTTATTTATAGAGTTTACTTATAGCATTACTTATAGAATAGTTCATAGAGTTGAATGCCATTATCATTTACAGAAAAGTATATATTGGGTTGGTGAATTGAAAACTGTAATAACTTGCTTTTCATCTCCTTCAACAAAAAGTTTTATTTCTTATTAACCAATGTTGGAATTTTTGTCTATTATCGAATTTTTCATTTCAATCAGATGCCTGAGTTTTAAGTGACATTGGAAAAATAGTTCTTTCTATCAAAATTTCTAAATACTCTCTCTCAAAGCCAAGTGATCAGATTGAGTTCAAATTTTGTACAATAATATTATCAGGAAGATTTATGGTTCAGCTTTTGTGCAACATTGTAAATAAAGTAGTGGCTTATTGACATGACTTTTTTGAATGACCTAATATATTGGGTTGGTGAATTGGAAACTGCGGGCTATTGTCGTATGTGACAGTTTGAGCACTTTCTTCAAAAGAAACCCATTTTGGTGTCAATGGAAAAGTTGTAGAGAATCAAAAATCAAGCTTATATCCAAATTTTCAGAACGATTCAAAAACTGGTTTTCAAGAAATGCGAAATTTACGAATTTTCACAAAACTTGCATTTTAAGCGAAATTACTAAGTGTATCTTTTTGGAAATTTGGATATAAGCTTGATTTTTGATTCTCTACAACTTTTCTATTGACACCAAAATGGGTTTCTTTTGAAGAAAGTGCTCAAACTGAGCTGACAGCTGACATCTCCAGTCCTCGATTTTTGAGCCTCACACTTGTCTCACACAAACCAAAATCCTACTACGAAAGAGGAATCCGCAAATTGCCTGTAAAATGGGCAGAAGTCGTCAATAATAATGGAAATTATTTCGAATGATTTCATGGTTTTATTTTGAATAAATTTTAGTTCAGCTTGTAGTCAAGTGTCTGAATGGATTTTTTTAAATTCGTAATCCTCAAATCCTTCAATCCTCAAAAATCCTCACCGGAATCCCACCAACATTTCCCTTTTTATCGTATTTAAAGCGGAAAGTTCTGTAATTGTTCTTATTTTTCGTTAAAAAATCTCAAAATCTTTTTTACCTACATCCAAGCGATTGGAAAAGCTTCAGCTCTTGATCCTTTTTGAGATTTGGAGTATTGAAGGAACCATCTGAAAGTGGATAATTCGGAGAATAAAATAAAGGCTGAACTTTGATTTTTAAGTTCAAAATGATTTACCCTAAAGTCTCGAGTATAAGTTCTGCCTTAATTTACATTCGCTTTAATTGCTTTGAATTTCTTTTTGTTGGGTTTTTATACATTTTTATTGTTATATAAACTTTTATTATTGTTCTTGGGGCGCGGGATACTACAGGGTGAGAGCCTATCACCATTGCTATTTGTTATGCATACATCCAGACGATAGTGTTGGAGGAGACGCTGGAAAGCATCTCTTTCGACCGTCGAGGTGGACTTTGACCGGATGAAGAGGCCAGGGAGGGATCCATAAGACTGAGCACCGGAGAGGAGCAGGGCGGACGCGCCGAGCCACGCTCGGAGCAACAAATAACAGCATAAAATTGCTATAACCCTCAATAAATTTATTTCTATTATTGTTCTTAAAAAGCAAAAAAGTTATGCTGCAGCGGGGTTCGAACCCTCGACACGCCGCACCGGAGACAGCCGTCAATTTGCTTGCGAAAACCAAACAGAACTTATACTCGCGACTTTAGGGTAATAGTTAATCACGGATTTCACTAGAGTTCAGCTAAAAGGTTAACAAAAGAAATTTGACTTTTCAAAGTGCTGATAAAACAAAACAGGATAGAAAATCAAGAACCGAAGATCTTTCTTTCAGAGAAAACGAGGACGGTTCCTATTCGAAGCTCACTTTTTATTGGCAATCTTTTCCTGTGGACGAATATTGGAAACATTTCCTCTTTAACATCACAAATGCTGATGAGTTTATTTATGAGAATGCGATGCCGAGATTGGTCGAAGTTGGACCGTACACATACAAGTGAGTGGAAAACTATCTTAATCGATTCATTCCAATACCATGATTGGAAAAAGAGCCAAATTTCCAAACAAAAGCTAGGGTTTTAGGCTAAATCTAACAGTAAGAAGGAAACTCTAGAAGGCCAAGACCAATTGAAAGTCATTGGCTTTGGCTTGGCCTTGGTTTTTGGCTTGTCAAATTCACGTAGCTTACATGGAACAGGTTGGAGCTGGCTATAGAATCTCAAGGCTTGATTGCTGCTTAAGAGTATGGGATTCGAGCTTCAAAATATCGCACTCCTGTGCACTCCTGGCTTAAAGTTGATATTGTAGAATTTTCCGTAAACTGTCATTCGTTTTTCAAAGGCTCAAAGAAACAATTTAACGGGTGATAAATGAGAAACGACTCCAGTTGTAGATTTTGTAATTGATTATGTCTTAAAATCAAACAAGTTTGAATAAAAAAACAAGAACTTCTTTTTGAATAATAAAGAATAAACTTTTTGAAAAAAGTGAAATGAGGAACTTCCAAAGGAATCGAAGGAATCGAACCTTGAGTCTGGTCGGCTGGCTGGCTTGGAAAACTATCGCACTAACCACTAGAACTATCGCACTAACCACTAGCCATTTCCCAGTTGTTGTTTGAAAACGCCTTAAGACGTTTGAAGGGGCGGGTGTTGAAGGCGAGCGTTTGAAAACGCGTTAATACTAACTTGTAAGCCAGTTTTAGTGTGTTTACAATGCTCATAAGCAGCTAATTTTACATCATTCGACTCATCTTTCCAAGCTCTACAAGATGTGCTATACCGCATATCGAGATTCCACCGCGAGCTCTAACCAGTTCCTCGTTAGCTTTGATTAAATCCCTTCTCTTTCTGCAAATTTGTAGTTTTTTGCTATATTAATCTAACATTGAGAAACATGAGAAATTGAAAGTTTTTAGAGTTTTAAAGCTTTAATCTTAAAATCGCATTTCCCCATCTCAATGCCACCATTCAGAGAATGGGAATTCAAGCAAGAGGTCACCTTTTTCGACAACGGCAACATGGTCTACTATAAGAATAATAAATCGTGGGCATTCCAACCGGATCTTAGCTGTAAATATTGTCTTTATGGCGACTACATCATGATGCCGAATCCAGCTTTCATGGTTTGCTTTTGATTTCATTCAGTAAAAGACTCTTTTTCTTTTTCTTCAAAGATCGCAAAGAACGAGCGCGTAAATTTCTTTCATTTCTATCAGTAGTATTTCTTATCTTTTGAGGAGTTTTTTTTTGTTTGAAGGAAAGGGAAAATTGGGATGCTTGGAAAATTGTGGTGAAGAGAATTTGGAAATGATTGAGAATTGAAAATTAATTTGACGAAAAAAATAAGTTAACTAGTGTCAAGTGGAAATCTTGATTGGGATCGTATCAAAATAGGATCGTATTGGAACCGTATTGGAACTGTATTAGATCAAAATAGGAACCGTATTGGAATTATTAGATCAAAATAGGAACCGTATTGGAACCGCATTGGAGAGAAATAAACTGGGAAAGAATGTGAGTACGCGAGAAACGCTGCGTTTCCAAATTTAAGCAAAAAGAACAAGGCTAAACTTCAGGCAGTGGTCGGCGAGATGTTCAAATGGAATCAAACCTCGGGAGCGAACAATTTCATTCTAAATCTGGCCACAATGTTGGTCGGGGAATATCCATTGCGGTGAGTAGATCAAGGATCTTCAATAAGAATCTATTGGGTTGACCTACAGTCAATTTTAAACAGAAATATTTATTCAATAAAGCCATCTAAATCAATCAGAATAGTTTCCAGAATAGTTTTTCGATAACCTGTGCTTATTTTACTGATAGAAGACGAATTCGGCTCTCTTAAAAAGTCTTTGGTTTTGCGCAACTCGCCATATCTTTCTTTTAAGTAAGTCAATCTTTATGATTTAGGTGTTATTTTGCTGCACTTGTTAAGATCTACAAAATGACACTAAAATCATAAAGATTGACCCACTTAGAAGAAAGTTATGGCAAGCTGCCAAAAGATTGACGCAAAGTAGCTTCTCTCATCTTTTTTATCTTCGAAGTCCTCTTCAAATTTTTCAGTGACGCATATAAATGGTAATTTGATGGAGCTAGATGAGGGAATATGCTGGGGAAGAAGTTCCCAGTCTGAGCTCTTGATTCTAGAGCTTGATTAGCACTGTGTAGGCGGGCATTGTTCATACTGGAATAGATTTCAGATTTGGTCTTTTTGTCTCAAGAGCTTTAGCCAGATTCTGTAGTTGATTGCTGTAGTTGAGAGTTAAGTCGTTGCTTGCTATTCAGTAACTCTCAGTACTCCTAGTATCCAAAAACTCCCAATAACAACTTCAATCAATCTCCCGGTCACTTTCGATCAAAGATTTGTCCCATTTTTAAACCTGTGAAACCATCGATCACATGTCGTCTTGGAGAGGGAGTTATACTTTTGTTATATGATCTAGAAATAGGCTTAAAGTTGAGCATTTATCGAACTCAAATAGCAATACATGCTGGATATGCCCATTTGCACCGATCGGCAAAAGAAATAGTTAATAAAGTAACAAGAAAGCATGCGATGAAACTGCCCTGAAACTGAAAGTGTTTTAAAATAAAGGAAGTTTGTTGTCTCTTTTACTGATAAACACTGAGGGTCAACTAAATTTCTTTTCTTTGCTGTGACTCATCACTTATCGACCAACCCAATATTTCTAGAAAGATTCCAATCGCCGGGATCTTATTCGATTCCTACAATGATCCACTGATCGATGTGATCAACAGTCCTCTATACAATCTCCTCCTCGACAAAAACGGCTTCATTTTTGGTGTGAAGATTCCAGTGATCCCGGCTCTTGGATATTTCCCGCATGTAAGTTTATATCAAACCTTTTGCTGGCCCTAGCTTCGGCCCTAGCTTCGGCCCTAGCTTCGGCCCTAGCTTTTGTTGGCCTTTGGTTTCATCTAGTCCTGTCTAGACATAAGAAAATTCCAAGCTGAACCTAATTCCATCTTTGTTTTCTCAGCCGTCTCTTAACCGATTGTTCTGAAATTTTGTTTACGCATAGAAATTTGTATTCTCTGCTTGTAAACAAAATTTCAGAGCAATTGACCAAGAAACGGCTGAGAAAACGACAATGGCATTAAGTTTGGCTTGGAATTTTCCCAATTCTAGTCCTGTCTCCTATCATTTAGCCAAGAATTCGGGGTTTATCGCATTGTACTTCTAAAGTTTTTTGTCTCTAAAGCAAACCATATTTCAGCTTTGAAAGAAAGATTTCAGTTCAACCACACTTGTGACGAGGACTACGTTGCTTATACGGGTAAAGATGATGTGAAGAACACAGGGAAAATCGTGCGCTGGTAAGAATTCGAATTGATTTGAAACGCTGAGTTTACTAGTAAAAATTAAGGGCAATTCTACTCTCGCAAATATTTATGTTCATTTATCAATCTTAATTAGCATTAGCAAAATTTGCATAGCTCTAAAAGCCCAATAGCACACTGGAATCGGTTGATTTAAGAGGAAACTATCAAAAATTATTGGGTTGGTGAATTGAAAACTGCCGGACTTTGAACTAAAATTTATTCAACACAAAATCATCAATTCATTCCAAATAATCTCCATTATTATTGACGACTTCTGTCCATTTTACAGACAATTTGTGGATTCCTCTTTCGTGGTAGGGTTTTGGTTTGTGTGTGAGACAAGTGTGAGACTCAAAAATGGAGGACTGGAGGTGTCCCAGTTTGAGCACTTTCTTTAAAAGAAAGCCATTTTGGTGTCAATAGAAAAGTTGTAGAGAATCAAAAATTAGGCTTATAGCCAAATTTCCAAAAAGATACACTTAGTAGTTTCGCTTAAAATGCAAGTTTTGTGAAAATTCGTAAATTTCGCATTTCCTGAAAACCAGTTTTTGAGTCGTTCTGAAAATTTGGATATAAGCCTAATTTTTGATTCTCTACAACTTTTCCATTGACACCAAAATGGGTTTCTTTTGAAGAAAGTGCTCAAACTGTCACATATGACAATAGCCGGCAGTTTTCAATTCACCAACCCAATATATTAGGTCAATCAAAAAGTCATGTCAATAAGCCACTACTTTATTTAAAATTTTGCACAAAAGCTGAACCATAAATCCTCCTGATATTTTAGTATAATAATTATTAAAGATATTAATATTATTGTACAAAATTTGAACTCAATCTGATCACTTGGCTTTGAGAGAGAGTATTTAGAAATTTTGATTGAAAGAACTATTTTTCCAATATCACTTAAAACTCAGGCATCTGATTGAAATGAAAAATTCGATAATAGACAAAAATTCCAACATTGGTTAATAAGAAATAAAACTTTTTGTTGAAGGAGATGAAAAGCAAGTTATTACAGTTTTCAATTCACCAACCCAATATATACTTTTCTGTAAATGATAATGGCATTCAACTCTATGAACTATTCTATAAGTAATGCTATAAGTAAACTCTATAAATAACATCAATTCAATAACTGAATCCTTGTCTAGGGCCGGGAATACGTCGCTGAATTGGTGGAAAGGAGATTATGCTTCGTCGCTCGATTGTTCGGGTAAGAATAAAGTTTGCAAAAAGTTTATTGAACTGTTGTACTTAAAATCTACCCTAAAGTCGCGAGTATAAGTTCTGTTTGGTTTTCGCATGCAAATTGACGGCTGTCTCCGGTGCGGTGTGTCGAGGGTTCGAACCCCGCTGCAGCATAACTTTTTTTGCTTTTTAAGAACAATAATAGAAGTAAATTTATTGAGGGTTATAGCAATTTTATGCTGTTATTTGTTGCTCCGGGCGTGGCTCGGCGCGTCCGCCCTGCTCCTCTCCGGTGCTCAGTCTTATGGATCCCTCCCTGGCCTCTTCATCCGGTCAAAGTCCACCTCGACGGTCGAAAGAGATGCTTTCCAGCGTCTTCTTCAACACTATCGTCTGGATGTATGCATAACAAATAGCAATGGTGATAGGCTCTCACCCTGTAGTATCCCGCGCTCCAAGAACAATAATAAAAGTTTATATAACAATAAAAATGTATAAAAATCCAACAAAAAGAAATTCAAAGCAATTAAAGCTAATGTAAATTAAGGCAGAACTTATACTCGAGACTTTAGGGTAAATCATTTTGAACTTAAAAATCAAAGTTCAGCCTTTATTTTATTCTCCGAATTATCCACTTTCAGATGGTTCCTTCAATACTCCAAATCTCAAAAAGGATCAAGAGCTGAAGCTTTTCCAATCGCTTGGATGTAGGTAAAAAAGATTTTCAGATTTTTTAACGAAAAATAAGAACAATTACAGAACTTTCCGCTTTAAATACGATAAAAAGGGAAATGTTGGTGGGATTCCGGTGAGGATTTTTGAGGATTGAAGGATTTGAGGATTACGAATTGAAAAAAATCCATTCAGACACTTGACTACAAGCTAAAAACTGATGAATTCGACACGACTTTAGAGAAAAATTGGGGTTATCGATATGAGAATTACGAGAAAAAGGTGGATTTTGCATTTTGTACTTATTTTGGATCGGTACTCGCGATTTTCCCTAATTTTTGGTGGCTATTTGGTTGGAAAGTATGAAATGGCGGCGACTTTCAAAAAAGTTTTTTCAGACGTTTTTCTGAAACGTATAAAAACTTCATTGAATCTATTTTTTTTGTATAATCGATCATAGCTCTACAAAATGGCTTTTAAGAGATTCCGAAAAACTTTTGTTTTGTGAATAGGCTGCTAAAGACAGGCTGCTATAGGCTCCTAAAGACAACCTGTCGAAAGACAAGGAATCCGATTTGTCGTTTGACTCATTCTTTACATAACTTAACGTCAAAACAAAAAAGCTAGAGCATATTTAGTTATATAACTACTCAAATTCTTGTAGTCATCTCGTCAGTCATTTTCTCTAAATAATCATTTATAGATTTTCTGATCTTTTATTGAATTGCGGCGCTTTTCGAGTTCTATTTCAATTTCATATTTGAAAAGAAATCTGTAGTGGTGTGTAGTGAAAAGAAATCACTACAGAATCTGTAGTCAGCTTTCTAATGATACTATTCACGTGTCATTTGATAAAACTATTCGATGTTATAGAAGTTTCTTTGAAAGTTGGCGCTATTTCGCTAGAGAACCCAATCTAAGAGAACAACTGAGACTATCACGTGAAATCCGACTGAACCCTGAACGACTGAACGAAGCACTATCTCCCGACGTTCGTTTACAGGATTTTGTTTAATTTTTTCTCAGCGCTCTCTACCTGAATTTTTGTGGTTAGAATTTGTCTTGGATCTGATCTTTAGCAAGGCCAGATCAAGCTCGAAAAATGCCATTAAACAACGCTAACCTAGAAAATCAAAGTGACCAAAGTGCTTTTCTTTGCTAACTCTGAGACTTTCCTAAACTAAGAAAGCTTCTCATCTCGATAAAGAAAAGTCAATTCCCTCATTTCTCACAAATCACTTGCCACAAAGAACAAAAAGGACTCGAAATCTTTTTTTCAAAGCTAAAATGTTGAAATATGGTTTGCTTTAGAGAACAAAAACTTTAGAATTACAATACGATAAACCCCTAATTCTTCGAAAGTGTGTCACGAACCAAGAAGTGTGTCACGCAGGCAAACTAACCACAAGGCTCACTCACTCACTTTTTGACAGACCATAGCTAGACACTACGTGACAGAAATTCAAAAAATCTTTTAAAACTCATGAACTTTAAAGCCATTTTTTACCTCTTCCATCCCCCTTAATACATATTTACCGTATTCTCTCTAATAGTAGTGCACTCTTTAATAGTATTGCGGTCCGAGAGGGGGTTGAAGTTCTCGAGAGGTTCTCTCTAATAGTAGTGCGCACTACTATTTTTTCAACCCCTTCTCGGACCGCAATACTATTAAAGAGTGCACGACTATTAGAGAGAATACGGTAACTATGATATCAGAAAAAAACTTTCCAATCGAATGAGCTTGGTCTAATCTCGAAAGTTGATAACAAATCAGTGAGCATCTGAATGAAAGCTTTTGAAAGTGTTCAAAAATCAAACATTCATTCCAGGATTACGTTCCCAGCTGGCCGTGTGGCTTGAATAAACCCTATAATCCGAATCAAAAACAATGTGACGCAATGGATTGTACACTTTACGAAAATTGGTGCGACGATTGCTGTAATGGTAATATTTCAAAAGAAATATTTTCAAAATCATAGCAAATTTGTAGATGCTTGAATGTTTTAAATGAAATTTGGATGAAATTTGGATGAAATTTGAATCAAATGAACTGTTTTCAGGAACCCACTACAAAGACACGGTCTTTATGCCGCCTGGAATCGTTCCGATGAGGTAAGCTTTCAAGAATGGTTTAGCTTTAAACTATTAATGCTTTAAACTAGACTTATTGATATCCTTAGCTCTAATACGGAGCTTTTAACAATTTCTAATCCTTTCAATGTTCAGATGTCAACCGGGTCGAACCGTCGAGGTCCCATTCGCCGCTTTTATCTCACCACCGCACTTCTTGTGGTCACCGGATGAGGTTTGAGGCAATATTAATTACATCTTACTGAAAAGAACTATAGTTTGCTTATAAGTATCTAACTTATACTAAACTAAAAACTCTGCTAATGATTGAACCAGAATGAAAATTTTTGCTAAATTTTCTCCTTTTATACACTTTCCCAAGCCTACGGTAGTTCATCCACCCTATAATCCAAACACTCCAGCTGAATACTTTTTGTTACAGAATAAAAATGGTGCATCCTGAAAGAGCATAAAATCATATTAGTTTTCTTTTAAAAAACGACCATAGTAATTGGAACTAGCGGAGAACAAAAACTTATCCACCGCTGGGTGCTCGAACTCGTGACCTTTCGCTTACCGGGAAGCCGTAGTAACCATTACACCACAGCCGAGACGATTTCCCTTACTCCAGAGGAAGTTAACTTTGTTATCTCGAGAATTCCTTTGCATACCCTAACGAATATCTGATTTGATTCGAAAATGATTCTGAATCTAAATTTGCTCAAAAAGTTTTTGGCCTTTTTTTATCACGATGTCGGGCGCACTAGGTGGTGTAATGGATAGTGAATCAGGATCCAAAGTACCTACTTGACGGTTCGAATCCAATCAGTGTTTTCTGTTTTGGAAAATCGATTTTAACGGTTTCCAGTGTGCAGATATAAGTTAAAATAGATGTTTGATTCGATTTTTGAGGCTTTTTCAGTTTAATTAAAGCCCACAGCTTGCCTCTTTTAGAATAACGGGATTTCTATAGAAAATGTATTCCAGGTGACAAAATCGATGGTCGGCCTTGCGCCAGATCCGGTAAAACACGATCCGAGTTTATTCCAAGTGCATGGAGTGAGTTCTTTTGACAGAAACTAAGCAAAAAATACCGCCAAAATATGAACACCGCCTTTCAATTCGTATTCTCTAGCTTTCTTTTCATCTTTAGCTATCGGGAGCGGCGGTGAAAGGGCTAATTCGACTCCAAATCTCGATCCCGCTCTACCAAGACAAGGCACTTTTGTAAGAAAATTGTTTGTATATTTTGAAAAAGAAGAAAGATATACTTTTAAATAGTAGATTGAATTTTTTTCAAATCCGCAATTTCTAGAATGATGAGACATCTCCGTAACGCGATCATCCCATGTGCATGGATTGAATTGACTGTTGAGGTGAGGGTTTTCTTTGTTTTTCGTTCTTGCTTACAATATTCTAGAATAAAAGGTATTCAGCCAACAAAACTGAATATGGCTTTAGTTTAGTTGAATCATTCGAAATCAATAGTTTCTTGGTTTTCAGATGAAAAGCTTTGCGCATCGCTTCATGAAGTTAGTGATGGTGACGATCCCGCGAATCATTTTAGGCATCGGAATTTCGCTTATCATTCTACCAATATTAGGTTACATTTACATTTTTTTTTCTCGTTTAATCAAAATTTCTAGCTATTGTTCTCTACATTTCTTGGGGACATTGGCGAAAAAAGACGAAACAACAGGGAAAGATTGAGGCGCCATTGATCGAGCAGAGTGAAGCAAAGCAAAGTGAACGAAATGATGAATGGCAATAGGAGGATTTGGATAGAAGAAAATTGGAGTGAATAAATAGTGAAGTTTCTATTGCACAAACAGCTCATTGGATACGGTTTCTGAGAGAGTAACCACATTGCTCTGATTTGTGGATTTTTCTGCTTGTCAAGTAGATCCGCCCATGAAGGCTTTTGTTTCAACTAACATTTCTGGCTCATTTGTGCATCCCCTATCGGGAACGCATTCCAAAATTTTGTCGAGACACCGTTGGAAGGTCTCGGGGTTAATGCTAACCTCAAACTTGGGTAATTAAACCGAAGAGTGGGGTCTCTTTCGCGGTATTTGTCGGGGCCATGTGCCAGAAGGCGAGCGATTGTGTGCTCCCCCAAAGTACACTTCCCGGGAACCATTTCAGCTGGAGATTTCGGAACTTTAAAATGGATTGGATTGATTCGATTTGTCGATTTTTTGTTTTCTTTTGTGTATTCAAGTAACCTTTGCTTCAACCACATTTCTGTCTCATTTGTGCATCCCCTATCGGGAACGCGTTCCAAAATTTTGTCGAGACACCGTTGGAAGGTCTAGGGGTTAAAGCTAACCTTAAACTTGGGTAATTAAACCGAAGGGTGAGGTCTCTTTCGCGGTATTTGGCGGGACCGTGTGCCAGAAGGCGAGCGATTGTGTGCTCCCCCAAAGTACACCTCCTGATAGATATCAGCTGGGAACTTTAAAATGGATTTGTCCAGGTATTGATTTTGAATTGAAAATTCAAAAAAGAACTCAAATTTTTCTTGTAATTCACGTTTTTTTGAAAGATCCTAGCCTTTTTTGAGCTCAAATTTTCAATTTTATTTTTGCATTCCTTATTGAGAATCAACGGAAAACTTTTTGTTAGCTGTTTTTTTTTACAAAACACCATTTACTTCTTCTATCTATCCTAAGCTGCATAAAAAAAGCCTTTATGCAAAATTTTCAAATTTCAATTTGATGACACAATTTTTTTCATCAATAGAAGCATTCATTTTTGAAATTTAGACTTCTAAAAAGTAATCGCTCCTTTTTTTCACTCGAATCTGCATTTTTTTCGTGTCAATCTTTTATCTTTTATAAGATTGACTGTATAAATAGAAACAGAAGAAAAGATTGAGACCAAAAAGTGCAGATTCCAGTGAAAAAAGGAGTGATTAAAAGCCACCATTTGAGCAACCATAAAGAATTTTTACTGAAGAGCAAATAAAAAGCCAAATCTACATTGGATTTTAGAAACTTACCAACGATGTAGATCTCAGAATTGTTTTGCGACTCAGCGATTGCCTCTGGGAAGTCGTGGGTGAGCATCATTTTCGATCAATGAAAGCTGTTCTGTGAAAGCTGGATTTATCAGTTTTTTTTTGGAAAATTTATAAAAACTATTTGAAGTTGTTTGAAGTTTTGAGAGGAATTTAGTGATTTTTCGGTTAACCGATAAGTTTCCCACGACCCACGACTTCCCAGAGGCAATCGCTGAGTCGCAAAACAATTCTGAGATCTACATCATTGGTAAGTTTCCAAAATCCAATGCAGATTTGGCTTTCTATTTGCTCTTCAGTAAAAATTCTTTAAGGTTGCTCAAATGGTGGCTTTGGAGAAAAAAAATTGGGCACATAGATGCAACAGTTTTCTCGGTAAAACCAAATCCCTTCAAAATCCAAAAATGAGGTAAGCAAAAGCATGAAAGCATTTAGTATTTTTAAATTCATTTGTGCATCCCCTATCGGGAACGCGTTCCAAAATTTTCTCCGGACACTATTGGAAGGTCTCGGGGTTAATGCCAACCTCAAACTTGGGTAATTAAACCGAAGAGCGAGGTATCTGTCGGGCTATGTGTCCGGACCGTGTGCCAGATGCCGTTTTTTCCTAGGGGAGACATGGAAGGTACACACGGTGGCGTCGGCTGCGTCTCTGCGGGAAAAAGATCTCTCTGTTGTGGGCAATTTCGTGAAACAAAGTTAAAAAGTTGATAGAATACAGTTGTATTGTCCGGAATTGAAAAAAACGAACATTTATTACTTTTAAATGTAAAAACTTAAATAATTTCTAGATAATGGCGTCGTCTCTTCAAAATTATAGAAAAATATTTAATCAAAAATGTAAATTTAAGTTTTTATCGGTTTGATGTTGCACACTTTGTACTTTTCATTTATATTTCTATTCTCTTTGTGTTTTTGCCACTGAAAACTCCGAATAAAAATCTTTATCTCAAACTCAACCAATCAAAAACAACAACGAGAACAACAACGTAACAACAATTTGAAAACAAATCAAAAATCAACAACAACCAAAACAATGCCTATTTTCTTTTTCCTTGCTTCACTTTTGTAGATCCTTTGTAGATGGGCTTTGGCGGGTTCTAGAGTTCAAATTTTACAAAACAATGAAAATTCCGAACTCTTTTTCTAACAAAGCTGAAACTTACAGCTTTTCTTTTCGTGGCCGAAATGACCTTAACATCATCGTCCTCATCACCACTCGACATCTCTTCTTTGACCTTGAAAAGAAAAGTTATAAGTAAGTGATCAAAAACAACCTCTGCTTCTGCTGGTTTTTTTGTGGTCACACGTCGTTTTTTCGTTGGAGGTGACGGCAATCCCTTAAAAAATATATAAAGTTAATTTTTATTTAAAAGGAGTAATTATTCACCTGTTCACTGTCACTGGAATCCATATCATTTTCGTTATTGGATTGTTCTTCATCGCCTTGATCGGAACCACTCTCCTGAACAAAAACATTAAATGATACTATGCAAATTTAACCGAACTCTAACTTTATCAAATTCTTACAATAATTACAATAATTTACTTATATGTGGAGTTTAAAAATCTTTTTTGACGATGATTTTTAAAGAATTTAAGATAAAATCTCTACGTCTTCATCGTCTATTTCATCCCAAATATCACTGCCTTCTCCATCCGATTCCGATCCGCTTTCATTCTCGGCTTTCTAAAAGAAAATTTTTAAGTTTCAATAATTCATTGCAAAGTTTAAGGTCTCAAACGAACCACAACTCGTAACATTATCTTTGTTTTAAGCTTTAGAAATTTTATGAGAACTTATCAAACACAAACCGCTTCTTTTATTTGCTCCCAATCTCCATCCACGTCCTCTTCTTCCTTTTTCTCTGGTTTCATGATCGAGAGTCCATCCCGGAGTAGAACACAATTGAGGCGAGCTTTGCAGTAAACCTAAAAGCTTACACGTACACTACGATATGAACTAATAACTCTACATACTAAGGTTAAAATTGATACCTTGCTAACGAGTTTCTTCGAATTCATGTCGTGCACCCGTGCGAATCTATCAATGCCTAAATAAAAGGTAAAAATGATAAAAAGTCATGCTTGATAAAAAAATCTTTAACTAACCACAACTCGCAACATATGGAGCAGTAGGATGACCATAAATTGCACGAATCGCCCCGGCTTGACCCTTGAACTTGCACACAAGCATGACTAAATAAAAATCTTGTAGCTGTACATAATGTCGTGGATAAATAAGCATCCACAAAGAACTAACTAGTCTATCTAACTGACTGTTTTAGAACGTCAAAATTCTTACTTTTTGTTTTTCCTCGTAAATCAAAGAGTCCAAATTCGCCAATCGTGTTGCCAGCAAATACCTAACAAATAAGCTTATTGACAAAACATTTAATGCTTACCTGATGATCTCTGTATGAGAGAGAAAGAGCTGTCACTGGAGATTCCATCCATTCTACTTGTCGCACGGGACGCCTCTGAGCCCTCATGTCATACATTCGAATCTAAATAGTTGTAATATTTATGTGACAAGGTTTGCTATACCTTAGCGATTAGGCAAGTGTTCCCAAAAACAAACAGAATGATGGAATTTCTTTATTTAGTTAATTTGTAGTTGAACAAAATTACCATATGTGTTCCAGTCCCGGTGATCAACGTCTCCGAGTCAGGCACCAATCGAATATCCATATCCCATATTGGTACGTTAATCGCGAGATTGTCTGGTGGTACCTAAAATCTATCACATACAATCAATTATTGTTATGGTCACATTTTTTTGAAATCCAAATCGGTTCATCCGACTTCTCGAGGTTGAAAACTTTAGCCGGACACGATTTTCCACCAACAGCTATTCGATCACCGTCACCATGTAAACAGAGGAGACCCTAAAAGAAAAATACACACCTGACTATAAATCATTTTAAGCTTATTTTAGCAACGTTTTATTTTGCACTAATATTTAACTAAAAACAAAACTCACTTGCCCTCCCTTGAACGCGCTCAATTCTTGTCCTTTTCTGTCGTGCAGCGTAACGTGACCAGCCGCATCGGAGACCACAAGTTGATCGCTAAATTTGTGAAATGTGAAAAAAAACACACTTTAAAGCTTACTTTGGCGTCAAGTAGAGTCCATTAAGCCGTTCTGCTCCATTTGAGACATCAAAAAGTTTGCTCGACTGGCAGCTCGTTGTATCGAATGCTCGGATTTCTCGACTTGACGTTGAGAAGAGCAGCTGATTCTAAATTTAAATTGAAATCATTTAAGCAGCCAACGATTCTAACTTTGTAAAATAATTTTTACCTGTTCACTGTCCCCAAAAACCATTCTCGTGATTTCATCACGTTTCGGGTCCAAATCTTTCAAGTTGTTCAAGTTGAGAAAGGCGTTATCGCTCAATGAAAGTGCTAAAATGAAATGAATTGTAAATTTTACTCTTTTTGAGACATTGTTTTTGCTTATAGGATTAAAAAGTTAAACCCAAATAAACTTTTAGCAATTTAGAGGTTTATCTACTTGCTCATTGGTTCTTAAACTTGCACAATAAAAACTCAACTTTATAATTGCAAGCTTCATACAATCGACCTTTACTCCAATATACATTTATAGCTAACCTTTCAAACAACCCGTCGCCGCACCCACATAACAATCATTCATCTTTTTCTACCCGTCACCTTAAATTTCTTATTCATTAAAAATAGCCAAAACCATACAACAAAAGAAAACAAATTACTAGTCATACAGAAAAACCATAAAAAAATAAATATTATTCCGTATTTATGCGATTCATTTGCTCTTTGCCATTTTCTCTTCTATGCAACACGGTTGCAATTGGAAGGTATCCCCCATGTAGGATTTAGCCAAAATCTTCTGCACTTGCAATAAAGCCGACTCAGCTCGATCGCCCTTCTCATCAACGTAGGCGTCTTTCGAGGTGTACGGTGGTGGCACAACGACCAAATCCAGTGCCACAATATTTTTCCCTTTCCAACAGACGTTGTTGTGTAAAATGTGCCGCAAACTGAGAAATGCTCGTTGCCCTTCTATTGGAATCTGCTCTTCCATCACTTCTAGCATCTTTGTTTGCGCCATTTGACTCGATTGAAGATTCTGCGAAGTGCTGGCCATGATCGATCCCAAGATATCGTCTCCATGTGGTCCCTCGGTTCTCTTCAGATCGGATATCTGCTTCAGGTTGAAGATGCGAAGCACCGGCTTGCTTGTCGTGGTGTCCTTGATGGCGAGGATCTAAAAATAGAACTCGTTTACAGGTGTAAAATTCAAGACTCATTTCTTATGCGCGAACAAAGGCTCTTATTGGGAATGTTGACCTGCTTGAGTTCACAATTGTACCTCGTTTTTAAAAGTCTGTTGAAAAAGTTAATGAGTCAATGCTTAGAGGTTCAATCCAGTAATCAAGCAAAAAACATTAATTTATTCTAGTTTCCTAAATATTCTATCAAAGAAAAACAGCAAGCTAGTTTAACAATAAAGTCCCACCTTGGATACCGGATCGAAGCACGCGACTTGTCCTTGGATGTGCGCTCCGAGTGAAGTCTTGAATTCGACAGGCGTGCCCACTGGAAGATCGTATTCACCTCGAAGCGTTCCACTCCCCGCTTGCATCACCTTCGTCACCAAAGATTCGCCGGCCATCGCTACCTGAAAGCAAAAACATTAGAAAAGAAAGAAAGAAAAGAGAGCAACATTTTAAGCATTAACGTGCAGTTTGAAAGAAACGAAAAAATTTCAAAAATTATCGTTTAAAAAATGAATTCATGGGGGTGGCTACTTTGTGCCTTTTCTTTCGCGTCTTTTGTGCAACTTGCCATAACTTTATTCTAAGTTGGCCAATCTTTATGATTTTGGTGTTATTTTGTAAATCTCAACAAGTGCAACAAAATGACACCAAAACCAAAAGTTGGTCCACTTAGAAGAAAGTTATGGTGAGTTACCTGAAAAATCTGGCGCAAAGTAACCACTCCTTGGATTTACAGAAATTTGAGTGAATTTATAGAAAAAATTTTGATATTTAGAGATTCCGCCATTCAACCGAATATTTAGACAAGAGGAAAACTTGTAGAAAAGTGCTAAGTGTGGATCCAACTTTTGAGCGCAATTTAATGGCACAGCGCAACTACCTCTGGCTCATTTTCACTACAGAAAATATTTGAAAACATCTTGAAATACACTTTTTGGTTAAAAACCACAAACATCTCATAATATTGATAAATTTTCAACACTTTTATTCATTTAAGTCTTTAGCAACAATAAGTAAACCCGCAAGAAAACTTTTTAAATGACACGTATATTTTGTAAGTGAGACCGAATGAGGAAGAGAGAGAGAGAGATCGCAATAAATGGATAAGTGTATTGACATAAAGTTTAAGAAAATACAAAAGAAAGTTAAGAAAATTAATCGATATCGATAACATCGGGGGTGGGTTTTAGTTTTTTCGGTGATGGGGGATTTCCAGGTCGAGGCGCCGCTCGGGCAAGCGGTTTGCCGAAGGGTGGACGGCTGGAAATGGAATCAGTGTTGAAGGATTTGGATTATTTTATAGATTTCTCATTATTGCTAGTTGAAGATAGTTATTATGTACACTTCTCACCCCATATTTGAAGATGGTGGACGAGCTGTGCTGATTGGGGGCCGAGTCGGCAGCTGAGTTTTTGCAGGTTTGCTAGGTCCCGGAGCTGACGAGGCAGTGACTGGTTTTGCAGCGGCCCGATTCTGTAATAAGATCAAGTCTAATCAACTTTTACTCCTCTTTCAGCTACTTTTACTCCTCTATCAGCTACTTTTACTCCTCTTTTTCCGTTTTATAATTTTGTATCTCGTACCTTGTTTGCCCAATCAGAGAGTGCGGCCAGTTGCGCGATGTTTTTGCTAGCGAGAAGGCCCTGGAAATGGTTTTAACAAAAGGAACTCTGGCTAAACTTCTAAGAGCATGATCTTGCAAATTGGTTTTAATTTGTTTTAAACCAAAACTTTTGATAGGATTATGATCAAATCGATTTTTATGGTGTCTGTTATACAGATTTCATTGTGCAAAGGTAGTTGGCGAATCTGTAAACGTCTTGACATGTTGAAATTTTACATTGGGGGCCTTTTGATGATGCTGAATCGATTGGTGATATTTTTAAACTATGATCTCTTGTTATTCTTTATGAAGTCTTGTGGAAATGGATAACTCTGAAAGCTTGCTGTACCTCTTCTGGGATGAAGTTGCCAAAAATATCCTTTATTTTAAATTTTTCGTGTCATCATTTTATTGTTGTTTTATTAAAGTTATTGTTGCATTCTTGTAAGATAAAATAACAAAGAAATCATTGTTGTGAAAATA